TTGAGATTATATCCTTGAATAGTCTGTTTTTGCAAGTATGCATCTAGTAGCTGTTTGAACATCTGTATGGACTCTGATAAAACCACTTCTTCGGGCAGAGAATTCCACATCCTTATTGTTCTTACAGTAAAAAAAAAAACCTTTCCTTTGCCTTAGATTAAATCTTCTTTCTTCCCGTCTAAACGCACAACCTCGTGTCCTATGTAAAGTCCGGTTTGTGAATAGATTTCCACACAATGGTTTGTATTGGCCCCGAATATATTTGATTAATGTTATCATATCCCCTCTCAGGTGACTTTTTTCTAAACTAAATAGGTTTAAATTTGTTAATTCATTCCTTTTATTAATTTTGTTGCCCGCCTCTGCACTTTTTCTAGTGCTGAGGCAGGCAACAAAATTAATAAAAAATATGTAGAAGATCTAGGCTTGTATATTACTATTGTGACTTTTAGTGAAAGGAACTCTTACTTTTTGAGAACACAGCACCAAAGCAGTTAAGGCTTAATAAAGTTTAAAGCGTAGGCACTATAATAATTGAATCTACAGGCATACCCCACTTTCAAGTACACAATAGGACAAGAGCATGTATGTAAAACGAAAATGTACTTTGAAATTGAAGCAATACCTTTTTTTTCACTTCCCAATGCAGGCATAACTGATATGAATAATGCATAACTAAAATAAACACAATATTAAATAAAAAATTGTAAGCTGATTGTGATCGCAAGGCCAGGGCAGCGGAGAGAATTTATTGTAGGAAGGATGGAGGCATACAGATATCTTCTGTTTCACAAGTCAAGTCTTCAAAGACAAGACACTCTTCTGCTGGGAATTAGGCATAACTGATATAAATATTGTACAGTACCCAGTACTGTAATGCATTTACAACTAAAATAAACAATATTAAAAGAAAAATTGTAAGATTACCATATCTGATTGTTGTCAGGGCAGCTGAGAGAATTTATTGTAGGAAGGATGAAGACAGGTATCTTCTGTTTCACAAATTAAGTCTTCAAAGGCGAGACGCTTTCTTGCTGGCGAATTGGGTGTACTACAAGTAGCAATAACAGTAGGAGCAGGACGTGGTGGTGGTGATGTCAAAGTTGGAAATGGACTGTCAGTTCATGTTGATGATCTGTGTGCTGATGGACTTTTAGAAAAGTGTCGCTCTCTTCTTTCCCCTGTAGATTTCTTTGCAACAGGCATACGCCCCTGAAATATTAGCATTGACTTTGGAACTTTGTTCAAAATCCCTATCATGCTTTTCAAAAAGAGCCATGGCGCTATCAAGATGACAGAAAGCTTCAAAGAGAATTTTTTATAGTTAAGCCTTCAGGCTGTTCAATGATCTCAACCCCGTCCTGCACATCTTCATTGCTGAGGGGCTCAGTTTGGGACGCAAGCAGTTCAGCAACGTTTTCTGGCTTCACTACCAGCTCTAACTGCCTTGCCATCGCTACATGATCTTCAAAGCCTTCAGGATCATCAACTAACAGCGGGCATAATTTTTTCCAGGCCCTTTTCATTGTGGTTTCCTTTATGTCATTCCAAGCATCTTACATTACAGTTTTAATGCAATCCAAGATGTAGCTTTTCCAGAATTTGGATGGGACTTCTTTACTTGCTCCTTCTTCTTTGTGTATTGCTACAATACACTTACTGAAAGTTCTTTTTAAGTAGTTCAACTTGAAGTCGGCTATGACACATTGATCCATGGGCTGCAGTAGTGAGGTATTGGTGGTAGGAATTGCACTCAAATGTTAGGGTTCAGCTCATCTAGCATTGGAGGGTGTCTAGGGGCATTATTGACAAGCAGCAAAATGTGGAAAGGGATACTGTTGTCCTTACAATAGGTTTTCAGCTCTGGTACAAAGCAGGTGTCAAACCAATCTTCAAAAAGGGCTGCAGTTACCCATGCTTTTTTGTTAGCTCTCCAATGCACTGGAAGTCTAGTTTTAACGTAGTTCGTCAAAGCTCTCAGATTTTCCCATTGGTAAATTAGCAAAGGCTTTAGCTTTAAGGTACTAGACGCATTGCCACCTAACAGAAGTGTTATTTTATCTTTAGCTGGCTTGTAGCCTGGCATTGATTTTTCCTGTCTTGCGATGAAGGTTCTTGCAGGCATCTTTTTCCAGAATAGCCCAGTCTCATCCACATTAAAAATCTGATCCATGGAGTAGCCTCCATCTTGAATAATTTTGTCAAGATCGCTTGGGTAATTTTCTGCAGCCTCAGTATCTGTACCAGCTGCCTCTCGTACTTTAATGTTAAGTAGGTTAGACCTCTTTGAACCTATCAAACCATCCACGGCTTGCAGAAAATTCTGCATCCTTTTCTGACTCACCTTTCTTAGTCTTCAGGTGCATGAATAGGCTTAAGGCTTTACTTAGTCTAATTGTTTGGTTGACAGGAACATGGCATGTAGTCTGATTTTCTATCCAAAGTATTAAGAGTCTCTCCATGTCTGCAACAATGCTATCCTTTTTTCGTTGTGTTGTTGTGTTAACAGGTGTAGCACTCTTAATTTCTGCCAGACTTTTTTCTCTGTTTTTCATGACAGTGTTAACTGTAGTCCGACTGAAGCCTAGCCTTCGGCCTAGTTCAGCTTGAATTACACCTTCATCATACAATTGAATTTAATAATTTTAGCCTTCATATCCAAGTTAATAGATTTACGGCATTTTTTTTTTGTATCTGTCATTATTAATGTACGGTACAGTACATGATAGGTACCTATAACAATCAAAAGAACAAATAGAAGTTCCTAAAATATGTACAGGTACTGTAACTATTTTAAAATTATCCCTAAATTATTAGGCTTGCATTCAAGGCCAGGGGCTGAAGTGGGGGGTCAAGGAGTGAAGGGAAAATAGGTTTAACCAAATACAGTAAATTATACAGGTACAGTAATCCACTTACATTTAGGCAGGTTTATGGGTGGATGGACGGCAACTCTGGGCCGGCGGGTAGACGGCAAGTCTGGGCTGGCTGGCGGACGGCAACTTTGCCTCTTCACTGGTGGCAACTCCAGGTGGCTGTATTTCAAAATTATCACTAAATTATTTGGCTTACTTTTGGGGCCAGGGGCTGTTGGGGAGGGGGGTGGGGGGGTCAGGGAGTGAAGGGAAAATAGGTTTCACCAAATACAGTAAAATATACAGGTACAGTAATCCACTTACGTTTAGGCAGGTTTTTGGGTGGACGGACGGCAACTCCGGGTGGAAATTTTGCCTATTCACTTGCGGCAACTCTGGGCGGCTGTATTTGAAAACTATTCCTAAATTATTAGGTTGACATTCAGGGCCAGGGGCTGTACTGGGGGTGACCACAATATCATTTTACACACAGTTAATCTTAAGGCATTGATTTTAAATTTGGGTCTCTCTCCTGGTAATCTGCCATGGGGTCCTATTGCAGGGTGGAACTTTGAGATGGTTCAGGAGTGGGCACATGTGGGAATACACAGATACAGTAGAGATTGAGAAGGACAAATATTGATTAGGAGCAGCATAGGATAGTGTGTAAGTATACCAAGCTTCATGCAGGTTTTTGGAAGGATGGCAACTCTGATCTCGCTGATGTGAATGAAACTGGGAAAGAGGGGTGGGAGATTGTGGAAGATATGGATGGAATGGGGGTGGGAGATATTGAGGGAGGATATGGATGGAATGGGTTGGGTGATATTAAGGGAAAATATGGATGGAATTGGTGGAGGGGGTGGGAGATATTGCGGGGGAAATATGGATGTAGGTGGGAGACATTGGGATAAGATATGGATGGAATAGGGGGTTGAAGACATTGGGGAAAAATATGAAGGGTGGGGGATATTGGGAAAGATATGGTTGGAATGGGGGGAGGAGGTTGGAAATATTGCAGAAAAATATGGATGGAATGGGGGTGGAGAGACATTAGGGGAAGAAATGGATGAAATGGGGGTGGGGTACATTGGCGGAAGATATTGTGGGAAAATATGGATGAAATGGGGGGTGGGAAACATTGGGGAAAGATATAAGGGATGATATGGATGAATGGGGGGTGGGAGACATTGGGGGAAGATATTAGGGATTATATGGATGGAATGGGAGGTGGGAAATATTGGGGGTGGAGATAGGTGATGTGGATAGAATTGGGGAGGGGTGGGAGATTGGGGAAGATATGGTTGGAATGAGGGTGGGAGAGATTGAGGGAAATATGGGTAGAATGATACTACATTTCTTAACCCCCTTCACAATTACAGCCCAAAACCCTGTCCCCCCCACTACAGCCCACTACCAATGCCCCTCCAGAGATTAGGTTATGGAACCGCTCTTGCCACGTCTGTCACTCCAGGTAGACGCCGGCTCTAAAGAAACCGAGTGAAAAACGTGGTGAGAGAGTGACACAAAAGAGAGACTAATCAGGACATGTGCTGTGTCATTCTCTCACCATGTCTGTAAAGCCTGCATACTGAGAAAACTGAACACTTAATACTAACTAAGCTAAGACATGTTTGGTGGCTCTGTGTGTTGGGGGGGGGGGAGACACAGGAAGTGGAAGGGATCATTTTCCGTCTGTCCGATAACAGTCTCTCACACAGGAAATGCCTTGCAAGAGGAGCAGAGATAGCATTACATGTATAAGAGTTGCTGCACCTCTGCTGTCAATCATCGGAGGGCGAGCACTTTGCAAATAACCCTTTAACCTCCACAGATCGGTACCATAGGCTGCCTAAGTCATGTGTGCTGGGAGTGTGACTAGCCCCTGACTAAAATGCAAATTACTCTGACTGTGCTGCGTTTTAAATCACTGAAATGGTCATGATGGGTGGAGTCACCCTTTAAATCCCTTTTACCATCACACTCAGTACATTCGGATTCAAACACAACACATTACAAGCAAAAAAAATGCACATACATACATATATATATATATATATATATATATATATATATATATACACACATATACACACACACTTGTAAAATTTGGATACATTTTTTAAAAAAATCTTTATTTTTGTTGTGCAGAGGGATACAAACAGTATAGTCATGTCACGACAGCCAATGACAAGAACAACAAAATACATAACTTACACGTGGTAAGGCATTTGGAGAGAAGTAGGGATGTGCATGGACAAAAAATTTGGATCGGTTTGGCACTTCCGAAATTCAGGACTTCAGCAATTCCCTAACCCTAAAGGTGAAGTGGTTGTGGAGGTTAGGGGTAGATTGTTGTAATTTTCCCTCCCGCTCTTGTTTTGCCACTTTTCAGAAATCTGGAGCACTTTGGCAATTCGGTTCGGTACTTCCAAAATTCGGCAATTCGGACATCCGGAAGCATCCGAATTTACCTTCGGAACGAAACGAATTGCACATGTCTAGAGCAAACATGCACAATTTTTATAGTTAGAATGACAGGCTAATAAACATGATAAGGAAGTAGATCTAGATCAGGCTTGTAGTGTAGTCTTGTAAAAAAAAAGTAAAATATATAGACAGTAAATAGCTGCCGAGTGTGAGTACCAGAAAAGCTAGCTAGATCACCATGCAATAGTAGACATGAATATGTGCTCAATGGGTGTACTGCAGGCAAGTAAGAGTATAAAAACATTTCCTGGCTTGCCGAAGTTGCAACATGTAATATGCGTGGAACAGAAAAGAACCAAGTAAATGAAATCAATTAAACAGAGATAGATAGATAGAGATATATATATATATATATATATATATATATATCTAGCTATATAGCGAGGGCTTGCACTCCTGCTGTAATCCTGTGGTGCCCGGTGCTGGTCTAGCAAGGATCATGTAGACATAGCAGAAATGGCGACAGATTTTATATATATATATATATATATATATATATATATATATATATATATATATATATATATATATATATATATATATATATATATATATATATACACACACACACACATACACACACACATACATAGCAGAAATGACCGCACTCCAAGGACTTTATAGAGATTTTCAAATAAAATTTAACTTTTATTCAATCCATTTCAAAAGTCAACGTTTCAGCTCCCACATGGAGCATGCCTGTTTTGTCCTGATGAAAGCTCCATGTGGGAGCTGAAACGTTGACTTTTTAAATGGATTGAATAAAAGTTAAATTTTGTTTGAAAATCTCTATAAAGTCCTTGGAGTGCGGTCATTTCTGATATATATATATATATATATATATATATATATATAGCCATGAACAGAACAGAATGCACCATGAGCTACGGTACCCAAGTCAAGGTTGTACAAAAGGTATTTGTGTCTGTAGCATACTACACAAGCCTGTCCAGCGTGAATGCCATTCAGCCAATACCACGGCTGGGCTTATCTCTTTCAGGTATGTGCAGTCCAGGATATGCCAATGTGTGGTTAATGTGAGAGGACCCCTGTGAGGAACCTCCTCGGCCCCAGGCCAATTGCAGAACCAGCACCACAGTGCCACGAACTTGGTAGCTCCCTGAGTCAAAGTTCTTCCTATCCTGAAAAAAGCGAAATTTCTATAGATAGTAAACAGATTGTAGTACTTAGGAACATGTGTGCTTCTGTGTGTAGCGTAGGTGTTTGTATATAATTTTAGCATTTGAATACACGGGTGTTTGTATGTTATGCTTGCATTTACGTGCATTGGTGGGTTTGGATGTAGTGCTAGATTTTAAATGCTGATGTACATTTGTGTGTAGTATTGGTGTTTGAGTGAAAAGTGTGTTTGTATATATTTTTAGAGTTGGAATTCAGGGGTGTCTTTGTATGTCATGTTTGTGTTTGCATATTGTGTTTGATTGCTGGGATGTCTGCACGTACACATATATACGAACACATTAACAAATATAAACACACATACACACTGATCAGAGGCGTAACTAGAAACCACGGGGCCCCGGTGCGAAAAATGGACCCGCATTTGCAGGGGGCTGCAGGGCCCACTGAAGTGACGGGCCCAGTCGCAGCTGCGAACCCTGCGACCGCGGTAGTTCCGCCACTGACACTTTCAGATACACACAGTGACACATGCACACAGGTCAGAATGTTTATATTGCAGTCACTGCTACACTCCTGTTAGGTTACTTTTTTTCTGCAGGAGGGTGACTTCCACGGAAGGCCGCTGGTGTGCTGCTCACATCTACTGCTGCCTCTTTCCGTCCCGTTCAGCACGCACTATTTCTGGGAGGAAGGGACAGGCTGTCACTTCCTCCCAGGATCTGATACCACAGGAGCCCGGTCGTGCTCTGACCTGGCCCCTGTCCAGCAATACCGATCAGATGGCCCTAAGTGCCTGGGCCACATGATAAGCAAATCGCTGCGGAACCCCAATTTTGTTCCCGCAGGACACCAACTAGGAAATGCCGTTTTAGACTATTTTATGTCTGCAATGTGTCTATTTAGTAAATTCACTAAACTCACTTTAACTTTTGTTGTTGGTGAGTTCAGCAGGCGTCTTACAATTCTTTGAAACTACAGGCACCTGACAATTATTAGATCGTATTAATTTAGGGCCAACTTATCCCGTGGCGGTTTTACAATAATTTCTACGGCAGCACAAAGTGAATTAGAGAAATCATAATTCAACAAAAAAAAAACAGAAGCAACAGACACACGGCTATAAATGTAAACTGTATATAATAACATTGCTGAACAGCTAGCGATGTAAAACTATGGTCAATAAAACCACAGTAAAAAAAATATTGGAGATCAGTGAAGGATTTATAGGAATGTAATAAACATGTCAGCATTTCACAGGCAGCTCTATCTCAGCACCCAACCCTACACTATCTCCCACTGTCACTGAGCCTGGACAGGGCCGTGACGTCACTTCCGGAGTCCTAGCTTAGCCTTGGCCATCTTTAGCAAGCTGCCAGCATCCCCAGCCTATCACAATAACAACAGGGGCCTAACGTCAGCGCCACAGCCGGCGTCCCCCTCCAGGTAATTAGAAGCCATTGAACCCTCCCTTTCAGGCCACCTTACATTGTTTATCACTCGCTTCCTCCTTTACACAGGCGTTTCCTGAAAACACACCAGGGGCACGGCCCAGATGAAGAACGTCTGCGATCTCCTATTGCTCGCCACCCCCGTCAATCATAAATCCCTGTGTCCCTATTGGCTCACGCGTTTTAAAGCCACAGAGTGCTCAGGCGGTTCACGGCTGCGTCAATCTCCCTCTGAAATGGGCGGAGCGTGCTACGTCTCGGGTTCGTCCCTATTGGCGGGCGGAAGTGCCCGTCCTGGACGTCATGGGTCTTCCAGCGGCGTGGATTGGCTGGTTTCGATCTCGTCAGGCTTCGCCCCTCCTCCGGCTGTGCCGCAGGGTTTGGTTGACTCTCTGCAGTGTAGCGCTCGACATTTGAGGCGGAGTGGGAGTACTTTGTGTGCGCTGGGGGAGTGGGAGACCGTGTCCCCGGTGTCAGGTAACTTCCTCCATGGCTCCCAGTGAGCCGGCATAGTGTAACTCTCCATCCATGGAGCAGGGGGAGCTCCCAGTGCGGCCTGGCCCTCCATAGCCTGTCACAGGGGGCTTCAGGGCATCAGCAGAGCCCCCAGTACATGGAAACCCCTGGAGACAGCTATATTCTCTGTGACAGGGGGCAGGCAGGCAGGCAACCTTCTGCACTCCACATGTTATGGACTACATCTCCCATAATGTGCTGGCAGGGCTACATCTCCCATAATGCGCTGGCAGGGCTACAGCTCCCATAATGTGCTGGCAGGGCTACATCTCCCATAATGTGCTGGCAGGACTACATCTCCCATAATGTGCTGGCAGGGCTACATCTCCCATAATGCGCTGGCAGGGCTACATCTCCCATAATGCGCTGGCAGGGCTACATCTCCCATAATGCGCTGGCAGGGCTACATCTCCCATAATGCGCTGGCAGGGCTACATCTCCCATAATGCGCTGGCAGGGCTACATCTCCCATAATGCGCTGGCAGGGCTACATCTCCCATAATGCGCTGGCAGGCTACATCTCCCATAATGCGCTGGCAGGGCTACATCTCCCATAATGTGCTGGCAGGGCTACATCTCCCATAATGCGCTGGCAGGGCTACATCTCCCATAATGCGCTGGCAGGGCTACATCTCCCATAATGCGCTGGCAGGGCTACATCTCCCATAATGCGCTGGCAGGGCTACATCTCCCATAATGCGCTGGCAGGGCTACAGCTCCCATAATGCGCTGGCAGGGCTACAGCTCCCATAATGCGCTGGCAGGGCTACATCTCCCATAATGCGCTGGCAGGGCTACATCTCCCATAATGCGCTGGCAGGGCTACATCTCCCATAATGCGCTGGCAGGGCTACATCTCCCATAATGCGCTGGCAGGGCTACATCTCCTATAATGCGCTGGCAGGGCTACATCTCCCATAATGCGCTGGCAGGGCTACATCTCCCATAATGCGCTGGCAGGGCTACATCTCCCATAATGCGCTGGCAGGGCTACAGCTCCCATAATGCGCTGGCAGGGCTACAGCTCCCATAATGCGCTGGCAGGGCTACAGCTCCCATAATGCGCTGGCAGGGCTTCAGCTCCCATAATGCGCTGGCAGGGCTACAGCTCCCATAATGCGCTGGCAGGGCTACATCTCCCATAATGCGCTGGCAGGGCATTATGGGAGATGTAGTCCATAACATCTGGAGAGCAGAAGATTGCCTGCTTATTCCCTGCTCTATGAGGTGTGTGCCTTGGTGCCAATGGGCATGATCTGGGTGAAGTGCTGCCAGGTTCGCCATTGTTTAATGGACACACTGCCCTCATACAGGTTACAGGAAAAGTGCTGCCCTGCAGTGTGTAGAGTTAATGTATAGTGTGAGAGGTCAGTCAGTTATTGGGACTAGGGTTATTAGCAGAATATCTGCCTTGAGCATTTTTGACTTCTCTCATGGTGCATATAAAGGCTGTATGTTACAGGGCAGCGCTATTCACGTCATGCCCATCTAAGCTCATTTGAGCTGGCCCTCAACACCCTCTAGATATTTGGTTACCAATATACTCATCTCTTAGCCTGCCCATTATGTTGGCGCTATAATAATAATGTGTTCAGAAAACACTGTGACTTGGGCAAATGTAATTGGGGTTTCTCTGCACATTGTAAAACATGCTATTGTACAGACTAATTTAGTGATGCATATATAGTCCATCCAATCCAGTATACACAATCACTTGTGCATGGCCAGCATTGGTAAAAAAATGAACATGAAAATTCCTATAGTTAATATCTAAATATGTTCAGGTGGTCACTTTATAAAACTGTTAAACTCTCAGTATATAGAGCTGTTATTTTTCACTTGTATGTGATACATTTTGATAGTCACTACTGGTATAGAGGAAATGGTGCTGTCTTGCCCTCATTGGAAGTTTTATCTAAATATTTCTCATCTTTTAATGTCTTTGGTATTTTCTACATCCATTAAATTATTTTTGAAAGTGTGAATTGATAGAAATTGAAAACTTTAGGCCGAAATAGCCAAACTGAAAGCATGGTTGCCTTGTAGAATAATTTGATTAAAGCTGCTGTGGCTAAATTTGAAGTTTACTTTTAATTCCAGTCACTTGTTTGTGACTAACCCTGGTAAGAACTGTCAAAAGTTGTCCAAGGCTTATTGTTGCATTATTTTGTGATGGGCCAATTTATTATTTTTATGCTTTCTAAGCATCACAATAAACAAAGTATACATTTAGTTATGAATGACCTAAGCAAACATAACTCTTCAAAGTTATAAGCTCAATAGCACTAGTTGTAGATGGTAGTTTTGTCCCTTAGACAGCTGCCTATTATTCCTGTATACTAGGTCCTGCTCAGATGGAAATAGTAATTTTTCTAATTGCTTCATTCAGTGGCTTTAATGTACCCTGAAAAACTATACTTATACTCAAACAAGAACGATTGTAAACTTATGCTGGATTTGTGGATACATCACTTGCCATCTTTTTGCTTATACAATGTTATGCACTAAAGAGAGAACTGTCAGGAATTCAAAGTGAATTTCAAATTTAAGGTCCAAAATTCTCAGTTTGGCTATTTTGGCTTTTAATTTGAAAATGCTAAGCAGTTATTTTTCTATATTCTAATTTGCCTCTAGTCTGGATTCCTGTCATAGAAACCCAGGACAATGAGATAATTTTTAAATGATTTGTCATTTTAATACTTTTTTTTTTTTTTTTTTGTGGTCAAAAGCTGAAGGTGTTGCATAGTAGAAATTATAGTGGGTTTTTTTGTTTTCCTTCTGAAAATGTACTTTTCTGGTGCTGAAGTAACTTAAGATTGTTGGACTGTAGTTTAAGCTATTTGTGTAGGTAGCTTTTAGATGTGCATTTGATTTCCAAGTCTTGGCCTATTTCCATATAACATTATAACACATCAGTCTTGTTTTTTGAACTAGTAAAATCATTGGTAATCTTTGTAAATGTTGTAAACTTTGTATGTTACAGAAGTGTTTTTTCTTTTTTTTTCTTTTCTACTTATATTACAGATGTACAAAAAAATGGATTGATATTTTGTTGTTTAAAGATTTACTCCAACCAAAAAAGTTTCCCTCACCTCAAACATATTTATTTATAGGCGCTGAGGCCAAGTTCTCCTTTCATCCCAATTTTTCTCTGCTAATGTCATTCCCACTATCTACCAGCAGAGAGATGTAGGGCTAGCGTGCTTGGCAGAGGAGAGGACATAGGCAACATGTGGGGATGCCACCATTGGACACGTGTTGCCAGCATGCTGTGTGTGTGCTGCCGTCAGATGTCCAATATGCAAATAGTTGATATTGGACATGGTCTTTTGACTCCCCAATGATGCTGCCAACAGTGGAGCGGTACATCTGGCAGGAAATAGGTTAAACTCTGTATGTTTGGCGTTTCATAGTGAAATGCTGGACATACAGACTCCAAATAACACTACTTGAAATCACTGAAGTGCTCATAGTGCTTAGAGTAATTATTTAAGACTTTGATTTGTCACAACTACACTAAAATTAGAGATGATGTTTTTCTTAGGTTTTCGGGTTTACTATTTGTTTCTTAAAGGCAAATTACACCATAGAATAAAATTGTGAAATCACTTTTAACTCTCTTGTTAACCATTTCTTGTGATACTGTTTTCTTTTAAGTGTAACATCACAATCCAGTTTATTCCACACCAGTCCACATTGTGCATTGTTTTTTCTCTCTGTGCTTGGTCTAGCTGAATTCCACATGTAAAGGACAGAGCTTATATGAATGACTGACAGGGGCCAAGATGGAGTCACTAGGATAGAGCAATGTGAATTCTATATTTTACATATCACAAATGCATATGTTAAATGTATAGGCTATGCAAGCATAATAAAAATATTTGGTAGTGCCTTTTGAATCCTGTAATACTCGCCCTATATACTGTTGATTGTCTGTAGAGAGCAGTAAACTCTGGATACCTACATTTTTCTATATTTTATTGATGGTCATGTTTCTGTGCCATGATTATCTCATATCCTGACAGAGTACTTAACAATTGATGTCTTTAAATTAAATTCAGCCTTATAGTAGAAAACTAATTGTCAATATTTAGGTTTAAAAAATAATATTCTCTGTTAGTGGCTTGAATGAAGCCAACAAAAAATATCTTTCAGGATCCCAAATTGCATTTCATACAACTTTCTCACCGTTGCTGTACTTATTTGCACTTCAGTGGAAAAGCTTAGTAAAAAAACATATTTGGGGATTTCTAATATGTTGGCTTAGGAGCGTGTTGACAGATACCTGTGTGTGTGTGTGTGTATATGTACGCATGCGCGCGCAAAAAGGGTGCACTCACAGGACTTCAAAATTAATAAGTGGTTTAATGTGGAAAATCTAAATTTGCATCAAGTCGATGTTTCAAACCCTCCACATCGAAATGTCGATTTCATGGAGATGTAAATTTATATTTTCCACATTAAACCACTTATTCATTTTGAAGTCCTGTGAGTGCACCCCTTATTCTATTTGTTTATACTTTTACGCGGGTAAGCAACCAGGCACAGAAGCTTTTTTTTTTGTTAATATAAGTAAGGAGAGCGCAGAATATATATCCAAAATAAGAAACTAACTGGAAAGTTGCCTGTTAAAAAATAAATAAAAAAATATATATATCTATCTATCTCTAACAGGCAACTTTCCAGTTAGTTTCTTATTTTGGAGTGATTTATTCAGTTAGGAAAGGATTACCTATACACATTACACTAGAAAACTAATGAAATGTAAACTGAAATGCAACCAAAAAGATCTGTTCAACAAAGGACCTGGAAAAGTTTAAAAATTAAATTTAAGTCTGACATTGTTATCCATCTTTTACTTTTTATGTTTTTGTTTTAGTAAAATTGTGTATTGACATAAACGCTGTACTTTACAGCTTTTCTTGTAATTCTGTCTCTGCATATTTTATCTAGTAGATAATTTCAATTATGTCAAATTTAGATATTATTTGATTAAAAAATGGGTTTAACAGAAGGCTTAAATGACTGTTAAAATACACATTTTAACCAGTCCTTCACAAATGTCTGCTATAAACATGTTCTCGCGGTTTGCATGAAATATTGTGCCGACATTCTTTGAATTTAACAGGAGTGAGGAACATACTTCTCTGCAGAGAGCACTTCTCACATCAAGTGGTAAGATTTTCTAAATTCATGCAACCTGATGACCATTTTACTTGCCTTGTGTTGCCAGCACTCATTTTGAAGCCATTTTCATAGGTCTGTCAACATGCTTCCATTGCTGGTTCCTAGGATATATGGATGTTTGCCACCCATATTCAAGGTATTGAACTTGGCAGTGATTTAAGGGTAATTCACTAAAATATGAATTTGTGGTCAAAATAGCACTGGAAAAAGACATTGGTTAATACATACAGTATAGTGTTTAGGACTTTGTATTTTTCTGTCTGCCATGTGGGTATTTAAAATATTTATTTTGGATGCTTTTGTGCTTAATCGGTTTCCTCCTGCTTAAATAAATGGAGCATCTGGATTTAGTGAAGCTACTCCTAGTTTTCTTTTCTAACAGGGTAAACTTTTCACACTCTATGGCATTGTTTATACAAACCATTTTAGAGTACTTACCTCTTGGCTTGCTCCTGACTCCTTAGGTTTATGTGTGTGGCCAAAAATGAAAGCTATGTGATTGTATTTAACCCTTGCAGTACCTTAATGATGCTGATTTGCATTGGAAGCTTTCCAGACCATTTATTGGTGCCGACATCTGCAAAGTGACAGAGCCAAGGGCATCTCATCTCTCTCAGAATGATATAGGACAGAAAGTAGATATGCCTCCATTATTATAAAAATCGGAAACCACAGTGCAGACACAAGGGGAAAAGGCTTCCCTCGGTGGTGAAATTTGCTGTTTTAAAATTAATTTTAGACTGTCACTAAGCATGCTTAAATTAATTTTGGTTTCTGAAACGTCCTGTAACTATACTATTTATTAGTGCCACTTCTACTGTGATTTTCTTTGCATGCCCACCACCGATATTACAAAATAAAGTTGTACAGTACTTGAAATGCTGACGTGTGCATGTTGAACTTACTGTAAGGGAACTGCTCTACTCATTCTCAGTCACATGTAATTTAATTCATGATAAATCATGAATGAGTCACAGTACATATGAATTAAATAACTCACAAATCTACTCTAAGGGAGAGAGAGATGGCATATGTACAGCACTCTTACTGAAAGCAATGTGAGAACCAGGCTTTGCTGAGAAATCTACGCTAATTCTCGGTGTGTATTGTCCCTGCCAATTTGTAGGTAACTATAGCCATTCAGAGGGGTGAGTATCTCTTTAATTGGGCTAAATAATGGTGTTTGCAGATTTTCATTATTTATATAGTGACACCATTATCTGCGGAGCTTTACAACTAATAGAATGGAGATAGTTGACAAGCAATTGACATACACAATGAGACAAGAGGTGAAGAAGGCCCTGGTCAAACAAGCTTACATATGAGGAAGGGGGTACGGGCACACAATGAGAGATAAAGAATGTATAACATGTAGCTAAATAATGTTCCAGATTGTTACAACACACACAACTGTGCTGCTTCTCACAGTATGACAAAGAGTGAGCAGCACTCACTCCAAAGTATTATCTAATGATAACATTATTTTTATAGATTGAATATGTTTCAAGGCAGTGAGCGAGGAAGAATGGGTGCAGTGTCAGTTGGGGACTTTTTAGACTGCTAATTTTCTCTCCCAGTTTGCTGATTCATCTCTTCAGAACTTTATTGAACTAGTACAGAGGGTAATATGAAGTTTTATCTCTGGAATATTTTGGGACTCTTCTTTCAAAGGGACACTAAGTCTCTCTAACTCAAGTCAACTTTAGCTTAAAGGGTTACTCCATCTCTGACAGCTTCATGACTAGAGTTCCAGGTTGGCTAATATCAATTCTGTGCAAATTGTACTGCTATTAATCTAGGAGCCAGTTGAAAAGGTTGGAAGCCAGTTTTTGTTTTAAAACAAAGCATTATTTTAAACAACAACAAAAATAAATTCGTAAATCCACAACCGCTTAATATAGTGGTTCTGGTGTCTATAACCTGTCCCTGCAGTGTTTACATTGCTGCCTAGTAACATCTTTAGTGGCAGTCACTCAGGTGGTCACTAGAGATGCTTCCTATGCATTTAGTGTCTCCACTCACTGCATGGAGGCGTTCAACGTTTACCATAGAGATGCATTGATTCAATGCATCTGTATGAGGGGATGCTGATTGGTGCAGCGTTTTGACGCACATGTAGGAAAGAATTGAGTTGGATGAAATCCTCAAGATTGAATTATTACCAGCCGCAGTGAGATCAGCGCAGTGTTTGGGGAAAAAAGAAAATTTTATTTGAGTGTCTTTTTTCATCCACAACTATCTCTACCTCAAAGTATAGTTTTCCTGTTGTATTCAACCTATCTCTCTTGGGATAACCCCTGCTGGCCTGGGGAGGGTGGGAGAGGAAATAACATATGAACTCCGGTATGTAACAGTAGGATTTTGTGTCAGGAGATCAACAGCCTCTGCTGCAGTCTTCCCAGCTAGGCCTCAACATATCAATGCCGAAGAAATACTTCCAGCATTAAACTTATTATTTTAGATCTAAGGGGATAAAAGCTAAAGAAATCTTTCCGGTGTCCAACTGACTTTTAGGGTAAGAAATTTGTACAAAGAGAAGTCCATACAGTGAACGTCACTTTTATCCACTTTTTGAATTATATTATTAACGCATTATCTGTGTAACCTAATAATAAAGTGTCTCCTTCCCACCGACTGTCCTGTTGACAAATCTTATAGTAATGTATCTGTTTTCTAGTCTTAATCAAAACATACAAAATTCATGTGTACCAAGTGAAGCCTGAGACTCCATTAACAAAAAAGGTTTAAAATATGTTGTGCAACTACAAGATATGAAAACACAATACATTGAAATTAATACAACAAAACTCAAATTTTAACTCCTTGCCGTTGCTGTAATTCTTTAGTGTGCTCAGACCAGGAACACAGCCAATCACAGGGTTCCTTGTAGTAGTGCCCAAGCCTACCTTAAAAAGCAGGACTTATAGAGGTCAGCCAAGTGTTCTGTATGATACAGGTCATTAATCAGCATTCTCCTGTCATACTAGTAAGTGAACTACAATTTTCTTTGCAGCCTTTTGGAGTAGTGGATATAGGCATAGAAAAAAGATAGCAATTTTTTTTTGTAACTGTGAGGGGAGGGTTTATATTCACAGTATGGTAATCTGCTTGTCATTACACAAAATAATTTCAATTTGTGACCCCTGCTTAGAGCCTTGGACAATGACCTGATTATTCTCTAAATTCACAATTTTCAAGAACTAACAAACTGAGGTGAAAGTCTGGAGTCTCTGCACTCAATCTCTTCTTCAGTTATAACCTTATACTGAGTGTGTGGAGTATGTATCCTGGTTGTGTAATGTGGTGGTTTGCCCGCCTCCTGCATAACATTTTCTTCAGGGGGTAGGGGTATAGTTTCTTGTGGTCTGTTTGGTTCGGTTCCTGGTCGCCCTGTGTGGGCTACATCTCAAGTTGGTTCAGGCCACATTAAACATGCTCTCATTGTCCCTGCACTCAGTTAGAGCAGACCCCCTAGCTTGCACATGCACTCTGATTAGGGAGTGTGATTACTGTGGCTACAACTGCTGGAGTGAAGACCGTATGCTCCATGAGCCTGCCCTCCACATACCCCATAACAACCCTGTCACTTGCCCACTGCAATGCTAAATTTGAGTAGATTTGCAATTTATCTCTGCATATCCTCTCTAGCTCTGTCAGGTTGGATGAACACCTTTGGGCAGACATTTTAGGTCTCTCCAGAAATGTTCTATTGGGTTCAAGACCAGTCTCTGGCCTCATAAGCATTATTCTATAATTGTGGCTATGTGCTTAGCATCATTGTCCTGTTGGATGGTGAACTTTCAGTCCATTCTGGATCCTGAGTGTGTTTGTTTTTTTTTTTTTTATTAAGGATATCTGTTTATCTGCGTTTTAGCTTTCCCTCAACCTTGACCAGTCTCTGCTGTTACAAAAACTCATCTAAAGGGATAGAATACCTGTCGTTTTTTTGTTTATTTTTTTTTATAAATTTTCCAAATTTTTTAAAAATCTGATTTGTCATAATGGTATATTGAGTTTAGAATGATATGGGAAAAATATTTAAACAATTGTAGCATAAGGCTGTAACACAGAAAACATGAAAACATTAAGTCCTCTAAATGCTTTGTATAGTGTGTGTGTGTGTGTGTATATATATATATGTGTGTATATATGTATATGTGTGTATATAATTTTTTTTTTTTTATATTTCTTATACATGTGTCCTCTGTTATTTCTACAGTCATCACTGGGGTAAGCTATGCTTGTGCGGTAAGCTTGCTTGTGAATTAGGTTAACCACAATTTCTTTAAAAAACAGAATATTCCCACAAGAAGAAAAAAAATATAATTAACATGCATTTCTTATTGGGGCTGCAAGTGTAAAATTATGAAATTGCATTCAGATATGTAGTTATCAGGTAGATATCCAGCTGTTCTGGAACAGCATCATCCTAAAATTAAAATCTCAGATTCTTTCCTTGGTAAGAGTCCATGAGTTGTGATGTGTGAAAAATATCTCTCTCAACCAGAGAAGGTATAAACGCCCAAAATCCAATTCTTCAGCATGCTCTTCCGTCTTTAAGCCCAACCTTAAAAATCTTCAGTTCTGTTTTGGTCTGGAGGAAGGTGGACTCATGAAAGCCCTTACTGAAGTAAGAAGATCTTTTTAATTTATTATGTTTTTATTTTTTTTTATTTTAAATATTACAATTTGCAGTGCGGATGTGTTATACAGGGAGTGCAGAATTATTAGGCAAATGAGTATTTTGACCACATCATCCTCTTTATGCATGTTGTCTTACTCCAAGCTGTATAGGCTCAAAGCCTACTACCAATTAAGCATATTAGGTGATGTGCATCTCTGTAATGAGAAGGGGTGTGGTCTAATGACATCAACACCCTATATCAGGTGTGCATAATTATTAGGCAACTTCCTTTCCTTTGGCAAAATGGGTCAAAAGAAGGACTGGACAGGCTCAGAAAAGTCAAAAATAGTGAGATATCTTGCAGAGGGATGCAGCACTCTTAAAATTGCAAAGCTTCTGAAGCGTGATCATCGAACAATCAAGCGTTTCATTCAAAATAGTCAACAGGGTCACAAGAAGCGTGTGGAAAAACCAAGGCGCAAAATAACTGCCCATGAACTGAGAACTGCAACATCACTGGAGTGCCCAAAAGCACAAGGTGTGCAATACTCAGAGACATGGCCAAGGTAAGAAAGGCTGAAAGACGACCACCACTGAACAAGACACAAGCTGAAACGTCAAGACTGGGCCAAGAAATATCGCAAGACTGATTTTTCTAAGGTTTTATGGACTGATGAAATGAGAGTGAGTCTTGATGGGCCAGATGGATGGGCCCGTGGCTGGATTGGTAAAGGGCAGAGAGCTCCAGTCCGACTCACACGCCAGCAAGGTGGAGGTGGAGTACTGGTTTGGGCTGGTATCATCAAAGATGAGCTTGTGGGCCTTTTCGGGTTGAGGATGGAGTCAAGCTCAACTCCCAGTCCTACTGCCAGTTCCTGGAAGACACCTTCTTCAAGCAGTGGTACAGGAAGAAGTCTGCATCCTTCAAGAAAAACATGATTTTCATGTAGGACAATGCTCCATCACACGCGTCCAAGTACTCCACAGCGTGGCTGGCAAGAAAGGGTATAAAAGAAGAAAAATCTAATGACATGGCCTCCTTGTTCACCTGATCTGAACCCCATTGAGAACCTGTGGTCCATCATCAAATGTGAGATTTACAAGGAGGGAAAACAGTACACCTCTCTGAACAGTGTCTGGGAGGTTGTGGTTGCTGCTGCACGCAATGTTGATGGTGAACAGATCAAAACACTGACAGAATCCATGGATGGCAGGCTTTTGAGTGTCCTTGCAAAGAAAGGTGGCTATATTGGTCACTGATTTGTTTTTGTTTTGTTTTTGAATGTCAGAAATGTATATTTGTGAATGTTGAGATGTTCTATTGGTTTCACTGGTAATAATAAATAATTGAAATGGGTATATATTTGTTTTTTGTTAAGTTGCCTAATAATTATGCACAGTAATAGTCACCTGCACACACAGATATCCCCCCAACATAGCTAAAACTAAAAACAAACTAAAAACTACTTCCAAAAATATTCAGCTTTGATATTAATGAGTTTTTTTGGGTTCATTGAGAACATGGTTGTTGTTCAATAATAAAATTAATCCTCAAAAATACAACTTGCCTAATAATTCTGCACTCCCTGTATATCGAGGGACACCTTGTCCCTTTACTAAGTTCTTTTATGGTTTATGTCCTGACCAATTATGCATGGGAGTGGCAATTTTCCCCTGGTGACTTCACCTGAAGCATGCTGAGCAACAGGTCTTCTTTGTTATGCAGTGATTTCTCCTCATTAAAGTCCCGATTGTTAATCCTATTACAGACAGGATGAGGCCAGGATTGAGCTCCTGCTGTGTATATCCTCTCTGATGAAGGCACCCTAGCACCAGGTTCTCTATCAATGTTCCCCCCTGGCCACCCTGTCTTCCATATAACAAACCAGGGTGTGAATGAGTTACCCTGAAAGATCAGACCTAGAGGCATTGTGACCCTGAAGAGAAGCCAAGCAGTAATTCTGCCCCAGGCCCCCCATATTGTTGATAAACGGACTACAAGCAGAACAAATTTTTTTTTATTTTGCACAGTCTGCATCGTTAAAGCAGCTTGGTCACCCATACAAATACCCACATTGACTGTGTTGGAATTTTATTGAAGTTCCAACTCGGTCAAAAGATATCATAAAACAAAGTAATCCCCAGACTTTCTTGTGGATTTTTCCTTTACTTAGGGCAACTGTGGATATAAATTGCATTGTATCACTGGTCACAAGACAATATCTATGGAGGCTCCCTCTGTCTCCTACATTGACGTCTGTTCTGGTCCACTAAGAGTACAGCACTGGTGTGGGCTCCTGGGGGATGAATCTCCAGTAGCTAAAAAAAGAAAAGGATAGTTGTGCCCATGGGGGACACCACACCCCTGGACCACCACAAACCAAGCAGCAATGTCACGATCGGTATCTTTCCAAAATATGCAAAGACCGCAGAAAGGGACAGAACCATTTTAATGTGCCCATCATTGAGATTTTAGATTACTTATTTAATTTGGAAACCTGGAGAGAGGCTCCTTATTTGGGTTCTTGTTCACAGTACTATGAACATGTGTGTGGATATTTTAAAACAAACTCTACCAGTCCAAGGGGGTATAGCGGTAGGCCTATGTCCTTGTCTAGATACACACAATAATTTCAGATTGGGGTACTTGCCTAGAGCTCTAGACATAGACAGAATTATTGACTATAAAAGTGGAAAAACTGAGAAAAAAAGATGATCTGGAAAAAATCATACACAGCAATAGTCACAATTTGTCTTTATATGCAGATTTAATATGTGAAAAATCAGAGATTAGTGAATAACCCTGACTGTTTCACCCTTTGATGTGTCCCTCTAATGAGTTTGTGTGTGTGCGTGTGTGTGTGCGCGCGCAGGCTGTATGTAATATCTGCTGTGTCTGTGTATGTGCGTGCGCGCGCTTTACCTGTTTGGTGTGCACCTGCTGTGTGTAGAATCTGTGATGTGCCCCAGTTTGTGTGTCTTTCTTGCTCTCTAAACTCCCAATAGTGTATTTGCTCTATTCCTTCCGGTAGATTCCCTGTCACTAGCCTACCCCATTAATGTCCCTCTATTAACCCTCCCCTGTTGTTGTCCCTGACCATAACTCGCCAAGTTTGTCTGCCCACAACCTTCATAATGCTGCTCCTTTGCGACTCCCCATCTCCAGTCAATCAGGGAGTAGTCATGTAATATGTCCCGACCCCTCAAAAAAAGCCGCCAACGTGAAGTGGAGACTGAAGCTACACAGCGGGAAAGGACAGCAGCTTGGTCCATGCTACAAAGTAAGGCGGACCTCCGAGAATTTCAGGCACTAGGAAAATAAGGCCAAATGCATCCTGGAGCAGCCCTGCCTCTTGCCAGTGGTAGGGGTAAGGGCAGATTAAAACCTGCCTGCCCATCGCCTGAACTATATATTATTATTATTATTATTATTATTATTATTATTATTATTATTTATATAGTGCCAGCAAATTCCATAGCTCTGTATCCCTGCGTGTCGTATATAAACGTTGTGTAGGATTGATAAGATGTTTCCTGTTTTTGGGTTGAGGTTGAATCCTCAATCAGGATTTCTCTGCCAAGTCAAAATGATCAAGGAAATGGCTGTTATAGCAGTGGGAAGTATGATGTCAAACTCTTTCCTTAATGCTGCAAAGTCATGGATCTGATTCAAACTGTTGGAACTAGAAGTGATGAGCATATTATAATTTAAAAGTAGACCATGCAGGACAACACATATTCTTATTACAGTTGTTGTGTAGCCCAAGTCCCTTCTAGCTGTTGAAAATTGCGCTCTGATACAACAACCAAGGTTTTTGTCAATAAACAGAGATTATATATAATTTATTTATTTTGCAGGGTGAGATCTGTGAAGGAATCTGTATTTCCCCTAGATTTATAGAAAGGCATATAACATTTAACCCCAGGGGGAGAACTTGTTGTGTTTAGTTATGGGCCCCTGGGGTGGAGCATTTGGAGAGCAGGGTGGGCCAGTGCTCCACTCCACTGTTTGTTGTTTTTTTTTTTTTTTTGGGTGACAGAAGTCCAAACCAGGTATTTGCACTGTCTCCAACCTATTGCTCAGCTGGAGGCAATACGATACAGCAGTCGGAATAAAACGGGATTGCTGGTTTCCTCCCTGGAAGCAGGTAGGAGAGACGCTGTTCTCTCCTGTGAGAAAGTTGGAAAGCAGCAGACTAGCTTGAAGCACTGAAAGTGCAGAGAGTCAGGAGTGAAGGTGACTGAGCACTGGGCTGCAGGAAAAGTTAACATGGAACAAGGCTGGTGAAACCTAAGTTGTGTTTTTTTTTTTTATAAATTCTTTATTTGTAAAGATTTGATTTTAGGGGGTAAGGATACAGAAGAGAAATAGGGAGTAGACAGTTACAAATTGGTTCATAATGCATTTGCATTTGCTTTTCTAGTCGAACCATTGTCAAATTCATTTGGTCACATCATTCTTTCTAGGTGTTTGCGTTATTTGCTTATTTACCCAGTGCTTCCTTTTGTTCTGTGTGGTAGTTCGGTAGTCTACTGATTGGGGTGGGGTACAGAAAAAAGAGGGGAGGGGGGTAGGATACCCTGTTGTTTTGCCTTTTTGTCGTTAATCTAGTGTAGTATCCTCTTGCTAAGTTTTGGGTCAGGTTTGTCGTTTGCCTTTCGGTTATGTGAGTATGTGGATTGGTTGGTTTGGGTTGTTGGGTTGCAGCACTTCTCTTTGGTGTCTGTGGGTGTGGAGGGGTGTGGGTTGGGGCGCGTGTGTGAGATGGTTGTCTGTCTCTTCATCGCTTGTGTAGCGTTTTGGATGGTGTGTGTGGTCGTCTATGGTGTTGTTTAGTCGTGTGTGTGTGAGTGTTGGCTTGTGTTGGAGTTTCGGTCTGGAGTGGTCTGTGATTTCTCTGTGTCTCCTATGGGGTAGGGCGTTTCGCCCCATTTCTCCCTGGGTTAGTGGGTGGTTATTTGTTATGTTCACTGAGTGATCTTTTCCATGAGTTCAACTTCTCCCCCTTTTGTTTTCTTGGTCCTGAAATGGGTTTGCCCCTTGCAGTTTTCTGTGTATTTTCGGGTATCGGTTGTTATTAATTAGTCTCCCTCTGTGGGGGTGGTTTGTATGCTGTGTGTTTGATGGGTTAGGTTGTTCTTTTAGGGATGTGTTATGGGGAGGCCTCATCTCTTGCGGTGAGTGTGTATGTTGCGTCAACGTGTTGTTGTTTAAGGTAGGGTCGGGAATTCGTAGATCCAGGGGTCCCAAATCTTGTTGAAGTGTTTGGTCGTGTCATGAATTAGGGCGGACAGTTCGTCCATTTTTATTGTGTCTTTGATTTTCCGCTTGATTGTGTCTATTGCTGGTATGTCCGGGCTTCCCCATTTTTCTGCAATTGCTCTTCTCGTGGCCAGAGCAATTTTGGCAATGAGTTTGTTTTGGGCCCTTGGAGTGCCTTCCAGGGGTTTAGACAAGAGCCATATCCATGGGTCCAGTGGAATGTTTGTATGTAAGACCTGTGATACCATGGTAGCTGTTTGGTGCCATAGTTGCGCTGTGTGGGGACACTCCCACCACATGTGGATGTACGTTCCCTTCTGTCCGCAGCCCTTCCAGCATGAGTCGTTGTCTGACCTGCCCATCTGTTTGAGTTTTAGGGGCGTGAGATACCACCTCATGAGCGTCTTGTAAGCTTGTTCTTTATGGTTAACGCATATTGAGATGGTCGCTGTGGCTTCCCAAATATCGGCCCAGTCTGATGGGTCCTCCGCTGGACCTATGTCCCTCTCCCAAGCCGACACGTATGTGAGTGCTCCGTCTTTAATGTGTTGTATTATGTGTGAGTATATCTCTGAGATTTGGCCTTTGCGGGCTGGTGTTTGTAGGCATTGTTTTTCGAAAAGGGTCTTCGTTCTGGTCCCCCCTGAGTTATTGTCGGTGTTTCCAGAAAGCTTTTTATTTGTAAGTGGCGGAACATGTCAAAGGTGCGGAACGGGGTGGTTTGTGGAAGTTCCGTGAATGGGATTGGTTCGCCATCTTTGTAGAAGTGGTATAGCCTGGTTAGGTCATTATCTTCGAAGCGGGTAAAGTCTTTGGGCGTCATGCCCGGTGGGAATTGTGTGTTCCGGAGTATGGGGGTTAGCGGTGATGGTTGGGTTGTAAGCCCACTTTTGTGCGTTATATTAACCCATATCTTGATAGTGTTTAGGATTGCGGGGGATGTTTTGGGTAGGGGGGGCCGCGCTGGGCCAGGCAGCCATATGTACATGGAGGGGAAATCCCTGCCAAAAATATCATGCTCCAGGTCGACCCATCTCTTTGCCCCTGGTATAACGTGCCAGTTCTGTGCTTGTGTTAGTTGTGCGGCCTGATAATAGTGGGTGAGGTGTGGTAGGCCTAGACCACCTTGTTTGTTGGGTACGTATAGGGTTTGTCTTTTTATCCTGGCGCGTCTGTTGGCCCAAATAAATTTATCAATCTTGGTTTGCAGCTGTTTGAAATCTGTGGTGCGTATTGGGATTGGGAGGGTTTGGAACAGGTACAGGGAGTGCAGAATTATTAGGCAAATGAGTATTTTGACCACATCATCATCCTCTTTATGCATGTTGTCTTACTCCAAGCTGTATAGGCTCGAAAGCCTACTACCAATTAAGCATATTAGGTGATGTGCATCTCTGTAATGAGAAGGGGTGTGGTCTAATGACATCAACACCCTATATCAGGTGTGCATAATTATTAGGCAACTTCCTTTCCTTTGGCAAAATGGGTCAAAAGAAGGACTTGACAGGCTCAGAAAAGTCAAAAATAGTGAGATATCTTGCAGAGGGATGCAGCACTCTTAAAATTGCAAAGCTTCTGAAGCGTGATCATCGAACAATCAAGCGTTTCATTCAAAATAGTCAACAGGGTCGCAAGAAGCGTGTGGAAAAACCAAGGTGCAAAATAACTGCCCATGAACTGAGAAAAGTCAAGCGTGCAGCTGCCACGATGCCACTTGCCACCAGTTTGGCCATATTTCAGAGCTGCAACATCACTGGAGTGCCCAAAAGCACAAGGTGTGCAATACTCAGAGACATGGCCAAGGTAAGAAAGGCTGAAAGACGACCACCACTGAACAAGACACACAAGCTGAAACGTCAAGACTGGGCCAAGAAATATCTCAAGACTGATTTTTCTAAGGTTTTATGGACTGATGAAATGAGAGTGAGTCTTGATGGGCCAGATGGATGGGCCCGTGGCTGGATTGGTAAAGGGCAGAGAGCTCCAGTCCGACTCAGACGCCAGCAAGGTGGAGGTGGAGTACTGGTTTGGGCTGGTATCATCAAAGATGAGCTTGTGGGGCCTTTTCGGGTTGAGGATGGAGTCAAGCTCAACTCCCAGTCCTACTGCCAGTTCCTGGAAGACACCTTCTTCAAGCAGTGGTACAGGAAGAAGTCTGCATCCTTCAAGAAAAACATGATTTTCATGCAGGACAATGCTCCATCACACGCGTCCAAGTACTCCACAGCGTGGCTGGCAAGAAAGGGTATAAAAGAAGAAAATCTAATGACATGGCCTCCTTGTTCACCTGATCTGAACCCCATTGAGAACCTGTGGTCCATCATCAAATGTGAGATTTACAAGGAGGGAAAACAGTACACCTCTCTGAACAGTGTCTGGGAGGCTGTGGTTGCTGCTGCACGCAATGTTGATGGTGAACAGATCAAAACACTGACAGAATCCATGGATGGCAGGCTTTTGAGTGTCCTTGCAAAGAAAGGTGGCTATATTGGTCACTGATTTGTTTTTGTTTTGTTTTTGAATGTCAGAAATGTATATTTGTGAATGTTGAGATGTTATATTGGTTTCACTGGTAATAATAAATAATTGAAATGGGTATATATTTGTTTTTTGTTAAGTTGCCTAATAATTATGCACAGTAATAGTCACCTGCACACACAGATATCCCCCTAACATAGCTAAAACTAAAAACAAACTAAAAACTACTTCCAAAAATATTCAGCTTTGATATTAATGAGTTTTTTGGGTTCATTGAGAACATGGTTGTTGTTCAATAATAAAATTAATCCTCAAAAATACAACTTGCCTAATAATTCTGCACTCCCTGTATAAAAGTCGCGGCAAGGCATTCATTTTGACAGAAGCCAACCGGCCGAGCCATGATATCGGCATGTTTTGCCATCTATCGATGTCGCGGGTGATATTTTGGATCGTGGGTGTGTAGTTCAGGTCGTAGCAGAGGGAAAGGTCTGCCGGGATGGTTATGCCCAGATATTTTATGTGGGTGAGTGTGAGGTCGAATGGGTATATGTCATGTATAGCTGTTTTGGTGGCTGGGTCTATGTGTATTGGGAGGGCCTCCGTTTTGTTGATGTTGAGCTTGTATCCCGAGACCTCGGCGTATGCTTTTAGGGCTTCGAGGAGTGGTGGTAGGGATGTTGCTGGTTCTGTAATTGTGAAGAGCAGGTCATCTGCATATGCCGCCGTTTTATATTCTTCTTCGCGTATTTTCATTCCTTTTATGTCCCTATTGAGTCTGAGAGATTGTAGGACTGGTTCTAGGGACAATGCGAAGAGCACTGGGGAAAGTGGACATCCCTGGCGTGTACCGTTATGGATTGTGAAGATCGGGGGGTGTGAGTGGGAGGAGGAGGTGTGCTTGTGGTGTGGTGTGGCATAGAGTACCTGTAGGGCATTTATGAATCTTCGTGGGAGTCCGAATTTTTCTAGGGTGGCGAATAGGAAGGGCCATAACAGTCTATCAAATGCCTTTTCGGCGTCCAATGATAGAAAGAGAGCTGGGATGTGTCTTGTGTGGGCTGTCCAAATGAGGTTGTATGTCCGTCTTGTGTTATCGCTCGCCTGTCGTGTCGGTATGAAGCCCACTTGGTCTGGGTGTATTAGTTTGGGTAGGTTGGGGCTTAGGCGGTCCGCGAGGGTTTTGGTGAATAATTTAATATCCACATTTAGGAGTGAGATTGGTCGGTAGTGTCCAGGTACGAGGTTTGTTTTATTAGGCTTGGGGAGGAGGCATACATTCGTTCGTAGCATGTCGTTCGGTAGTTGGTCTCCCTGAAGTATGGCGTTGTATAGTGTGCAGAGATGTGGGATTAAGATGGGGGCAAATGTCTTGTAATATAGCCCAGTGAACCCGTCTGGGCCAGGGCTTTTGTTGGGTTTGAGCGCTTTTATCTTTCCTGCGAGTTCTTCTGGTGTTATGGGGCTGGCTAGAGCCTGTGCCGCTTCTGTGGATAGAGAGGGTAGTGGAACTTGGGTTAGGTATTGGTCTATTAGTGTTTTAGCCGACGTTGGGTGTTGTCGTGTTTCTGGGGTGTGGTCGTATAGGGTTCTGAAGTAATCTTGAAAGACTCTATTCTTCCGGGTCCTCTGTGGTTTCCCCTCTCGGGGTAGTTATTTTGTGTATCTGTTTATTTTCATTTCGTTGTTTGAGTCTGCGGGCGAGTAACGTGTCAGCTTTGTTAGCCTTGTCGTAGTATAGCTGTTTTGTCCAGAGTAACGCTTTGGTCGAATCTTTCGCCATGTATTCTTTAATCTTGGTTTGGCATTTTATGATTTGCTCATTGAGCTCTTGTGTTGGATCTATTTTATGTTTGGCCTCCAGGGTTCTTAGAGTCTGCAGTGTTTGTTCAAGGAGGGCCACCTGCTTTTTTTTGTGTATCGTTGCTTGGTTAATTAAGGCTCCCCTGATTACGGCTTTGTGTGCTGCCCATAGGTTCCCTTCGGAGGTTGCCGTGCCTTTGTTGATTTGGAAGTATTCTGTTATGGCTTTGTCAGTCGTTTGTCTGATTAGTGGGTTGTGTAGGAGGTGTGGGTTTAGGCACCATGTCCAGGGTCTCGCCGTTCCTGGCAGGTTTAGGGTCAGTGTTATTTCGGCATGGTCTGACCATGTGATGGGGCCTATTGATGCGTTCTTGGTCATGGGCGCCAGTGATGGTAATATGAGAAAGAGGTCTATAAGGGAGTGTGATTGGTGTGGGTGCGAAAAGATGCGTCTATGAGCCGTGTGCGTGAGATGAAAGCAGAGAATAGTTTGTCTGCTTTCGCTGTTGGTTGTCTGCTTTGCCTGTGTGGATGTGATCGGCGTCTGTCTACCGTGGGTGATGGGGTAGCGTTAAAGTCGCCGCCTATTATGGAGTGGTGGGAGGGAAAGAGAGCTAGGTGTGCTTGTATTGTCTGCCAGAATGAGCTAGTTGGGGTGTTTGCCGCGTATAGAGTGGTGAAAGCGTAGGAGTGTGTGCCTATCTTGCCTGCGACTGTGAGGTATCGGCCTTGTGGGTCCGCTACTGTCTGCTGTATGGAGAGGGGGCATGATTTCCGTAGAACGATGACTACCCCGTTATGTTTCTCTTGTGGAGAGCTGGCGAAGTGATTAACTTTGTAGTGTCGGCTCAGGAGGGGAAACTGTTTGGCTTGAGTGAAGTGTGTTTCCTGCAAGAGGAGTACGTCTGCTTTAGTTCTATTTGCCCATCTCATAAGCTGGTGTCTCTTTGCGGGGCTGTTCAGGCCTTTGCAGTTGATTGATAGGCAGGTTAGAGTGGCTGGCATGCTGGTTGGTGCTGCGATGGCCTTTGCGTGTGAGTTGTCTTCTTGCGTGGGGTTGCGTTAGTGTGTGGTGCGTGGGGGAGTTGTGGGTGGGGGGGGGTTGGGGTGGGTCGTGGGTGAGAAGTGCTGATGTGAGAAGGTGTGTGTGTGTGTGTGTGTGGTGTGGGAGGGGTTGTAGGAAGAACGTAACATAAGAGAACGTAACAAAACATGTGGCCAGTTTTGGCAACTGTGGTCTTGGTGTTGTGTTTGAGCGTTTTTTTTTGTTTTTGTTTTTTTTCCTCCCCTTCCTTCCTTATGTGGGGTTTCTCTCTGGTGGGGGTTACTGAAGGGTGTGACAGGGGTGGGTACTTTTCTTGGGTTGAACTATGTGGTCATCATTTCAGTTGATCCCGGGCTTCCACTCTGTTCATCTGTCTAAAGGATTCTGTGGTAGTGCATTGGGAACCTTTGTGGGGTTAGTGGCTTTTAGTGTTGTCTGGGCTGCTTAGTTTCTGCCCATCCGTGCTATGTCTTAGTGCTGCCAGGGGGGGGTGTGGCCTGATGTACAGGGGTGGGGGGGTTGCCCGGGGAGTATGTGGTGGGGGGGGTATCTGGAGTGGGTGGGGGTGAGGTGTTCTCTTTGGTGAGACGTGGGGGGATCGATCAGAGGGATGGTGGGCTTATGATGAGTCCCTCCTTTGTCCTTGTATGGGGTATTTTACTTCTCCATGCCCCGCGCGTTGATTCCCCCTAGTTCGGGTGGTAGGGCAGTTATGTCGTACTTGTGTGTCTCCGGGCCTGGGTCCGTGGTTTTGTGTTCTAGGTTGTTGTGTTGTCTGTATTCCGTTCGTCGTCCATGTACGGGTGTTGGTAACTGTTAGGCGGGTTCCCGCCCTATAGTTTTGTAGGTAGGCGGTGTGTGGGTTCTCTGGTGGTTTAATTGTCATTGGTGTGGGTGTGATTGGTGTGTCTGTGTATCGGTTCGGTGTCGGGTCTTCTGTGGTAGGGGTTAGGCTTGCCTTGTGCGGATAGTGGGGGCGTGGGGGGGGAAGACAAGGGGAGGGGCTCCATTGGGGGTAAAGTGGAAGAGGGAGGGGAATTTGGGGGCCTAGGTCCCCCCTTTCTCCAGTCAATGCCTTCTGTTGCTATATCGTTCCCCAGGGGCCCCAGATTTTCCGGGCAGATTTGGTGGTCTCATGAACCAGGGCAGACAAGTCATCCATCTCTCTGGACTCCTCTATTTTCCTCCGTACCTCCGGCATTGCCGATATATCTGTGCTGCCCCAATGGGCTGCTATCCTTCTTCGCGATGCTAGTGCTATCTTAGCTACCAGTTTGTTTTGTGCTCTGGGAAGGTCATCAATGGGTTTGGACAGTAACCATGTCCACGGCTCCAGTGGAAGATCTATGTGCCTTGTGCCCCGCATCCCTTCCAGCAGCGGTCAGAGTCTGTTCGCCGCATCTGTTTGAGTTTCAAGGGGGTAAGGTACCATCTGAGCAGGGTTTTATATGCCTGCTCTTTATGGTTGGCACAAATTGTTACTGAAGCTGTGGCCTCCATATGTCCGGCCAGTCCGAGGGGTCCCCTGGGGGGCCCAGGTCCCTCTCCCTCTCCCAGGCCCTCACGTATGAGAAGGCTTCCTGGGGGGGGTGTCCAGGGCTAAAATGTTGTATAGAGTGGAAATTTGACCTTTCTGTATGGGTGTGTGTTGGCACATCCTCTCGAAGTGTGTGTGTTTCGCCGTCGCCGCTGCTGTTATGTTTGGGCTGGACAGGAAACTGCGAAGCTGGATATAGCGGAAGTGGACAAAGGTGTTGAGGGGGGTGGTTTGCGGTAAGTTGGCAAATGGGAGGAGGCGGTCATTATGGAAAAAGTGGCAGATCCTAGTTAGGTCGTTATCCTCAAAGTGGGCATAGTTTCGGGGTGTCATCAGGGCCGGTGTTGTCTGGGGCATCCCTGGTCTAGGCTGCTTCGGTACCCAAAGGTACATCGATGGGAAGTCTCTGCCAAATAGGTCATGTTCTAAGTCTACCCATAGCTTGATCCCGGCCGGGGCATGAAGGGTTTGTATTTGTGCTAGTTGGGCCGCTTGGTGGTAGTCCCAAAAGTTCAGGAGTCCGATGCCACCTCTCTTGTGTGGGATATACAGTGTGGTTCGTTTTATTCTGGCCCTTTTCCCTGCCCAAATAAATTTCTCAATCTGTGTTTGCAAGGATTTAAAATCGGCTTTCGAGATCGGGATGGGGAGGGTTTGAAACAGGTATAGGAAGCGGGGAAGTAAGTTAATTTTTACTGAGGCCATCCTGCCCAACCAGGAGATGGATAATTTTTGCCAGTCCATCAGATCTTTTTTTGCCTGCTCTAGTAGTGGTAGTTCAGGGGGTAGTTCAGTCGGTATGTCGAACGTAGGTCTGCAGGTATGTATACTCCCAGGTATTTGATGCAGTCTGGTCGGAAGCGAAATGGGTACGTCTCTTGTAGGGACTTGTCTAACTGGGGGGGTGGGGGGGTGTGGAGTGCCATGGGCTCTGCCTTGTCCAGATTCAGTTTGTATCCTGATATTTTAGCGTATCCGTCTAGGAGGTGTAGAAGGGGGGGTAATGAGGACTCGGGTTCTGTCAGTGTCAGGGGTAGGTCGTCTGCATAAGCTGCAATTTTATATTCCTCTCGTCGTATTTTAATTCCCTTGATATTGGGGTCATTCCTTATCCTTTGGAGGAAGGGCAAAAAGGATAGGGCGAAAAGGAGGGGGGAAAGGGAGCATCCCTGTATCGTGCCGTTGTATATGCGGAATGGGGTCGATTGGGCGTTTGGTATGAGTAGTTGTGCCGTCGGGTAAGAGTATAGATTTCAGATTGCCTTTAGAAACCCTCTGGGGAGTCCAAATTTTGCCAGTGTTGCAAATAAATATGGCCATAGTATGCGGTCAAATGCCATATCGGGGTCAAGGGAAAGTAGCAGTGTGGGGGTCTCTTTGTGTGTGACTGTTCCGTATCAGGTCGTAGGTGCGTCTAGTGTCACTGGCTTGTCTGTATGGGATGAATCCTACTTGGTCCAGGTGGATCATCTTCGGGAGGTATGGTTGTAGTCGGGTTGCTAGGAGTTTAGTGAATAATTTAATGTCAACATTGAGGAGTGAAATGGGGCGGTAATGTCCGTGGTCTTGATGGGTTTTGTTTGGTTCCGGTATTAGGCTTATGTTTGCCTGTAACATGTCAGGGGGTATTGTCTCTCCTTTGAAAATTGATGTTAATAGGTCTTTGAGGTGTGGGAGTAGAGCCGCTGAGTATGTGTTTTTTTTTTGTTTTTTTTAATTTTTTTTATTTTAATTCTTTATTTTATTTGTGCTTAGCGTGAACAATCATGTTTGCACTGCCACGATAGCTGGTGCAAGCAAGTACGGAAACATACATTAACATAGGTATGGCATTGAAATACATAGCACATTTTTCTTTATATTCAAGATAGGAAACATGTTAGAGGTTAAACATTGAATCATGGTTGCATAGAAGATCTGCCACATTTTTCTTTATATTCAAGATAGGAAACATGTTAGAGGTTAAACATTGAATCATGGTTGCATAGAAGATCTGCCTGTCTCGATATTTAGTAAAAGAGTAAACTGGTCAATCATGCAGCCTATGGGGATTAACATGCTAGTTGAACATAGCTGAGATTTGCTTGGTACATAAGGTCACATCACTGCATTATCTGAGCATATTATTACCGTGCTGCATCAGGGGCTAACAGATTGTATACGTGCAGTACAGTTATATTTGCCTGAGTAGGTTAATTGTAAATCTGTTTAGACATATTAGCTAAATTAACAGGGTGGAGAGATGGAAGTGCAGGCTAAAATTGAACTCATAGTTAAAATAGATTGTGTGAAAGAGACAGGTTTGCTAGGCAAGATGGCATGGTTAGTGTAGCATAAAAAAGAAAAAGGAAAAAATTTATGCCACCGTGGTTAAAGAACCCTGGGTCCCCGTACAGAGACTCCTCTCCCTCATGAGAGGTAGACGTGATCCTGAACGTTGTTCAGGAGACAGAAAGTAGGCAGCCCCAGTCCCTGTGCAGAGAGCAGCCAACTCCCATCACTGGCAGGTCACAGTTCTGTGTTTCTCAGCTCCTTCTTCTGTGTATAATGAAGCTGTGGTGTAGCTTGTCGGTCGGTATCAGCCGGCCGCAGTTGGGAGCTGGGTATGTGTGAGGTCTTCATAGTGCTCTGCTGCCGTCGTGCATGTGGCTCGGCTTCACAGGATTGTGTCAGCTTGCAGCATGAATACCTTTCGGTCCGCTTTGCCAGTCAGCTGGTCTCCACTCAAGGTCCTCGGTGTCGATTGGAGCACTCCAGGCCGGGTCTCAGGATAGGTAGGAGTATGTTTTTTTTTAGTATAGCCCTGAGAACCCGTCCGGGCCTGGGCATTTGTTTGGCTGGAGGGATTTAATTGTCTCCGCGATCTCCTCCGGCGCCACAACTGTTTTAATTGTATTATTTTTATTTCTAACATTCTGTTTTGTTTTTTTTAATCATTAGTTGCAACATTAAAACAGCTGCCAAAACAGCTCTGATGTGTTGAGACATGGTCTCCACAAGATCTCTGAATGTGTCCTATGGTATCTGACACCAAGAAATTGGCAGCAGATCCTTTTAAGGTCTTCAACTTACAAGGTGGGTCCTCCATAGATCGGATTTGTTGTTCCAGTACATCCCACAGATGCTCAATTGGATTGAGATCTGGACAATTTGGAGGGCAAAGAAACACCATTAACTCTTTGTGATGTTCCTCAAACCATATCTGTACAATGTTTGCAGTGTAGCAGGGTGCATTATCATAGTTACATAGCTGAAAAGAGACATGCGTCCATCAAGTTAAAAAAAACAAAAAACCTAGTCTGTAGCGCTTCCAATTTTGCAACAAACTAGGAAGAAATTCCTAATTGACAAGGCTCATTGATGCACTAGGGAAGCGAAAGCTAGAACATCTGGTGCAATCACACAGAAGAGCTACTGTAGCTCAAATTGCTATAAAACTTAAAGGAACACTCCGGGCACCATAAACACCAAATTAAACATATGCTGACGCGGTCTTGGGAGATTAATCATGAGACATTTTTAAAAAAAGAAACAAGTAAAAATAGTGGAAATTTTATTTTCAAAATGGCAGGCCCATTATTTTGGCGCAAAGAGCTAGACATTCACAGATTAATTGGCAGCCATGTTCGCCTGAACTCTCCACTTCAGCCGACTTCCTTTGGTAATGAACCACATACATTTGAGGAGTTCAAGGAGAATATCAATGCAGAAATCCGAGAGCTAGAACCTCAAGCATTAAAAGATATTTTTTTTATTTTTTTATTCTCTTTTACAATAGTAAGTACGTTTTTTTTATTCTCTTTTACAATATACAGTTATACAGAGAGCACTATTTGGCTGTTTCTGTTTCCTTTGAGTTTTGGATACCCTGACGAACCCATCATAAATCCCATAAGCGGGGATTATACCGCTGTGTGCGCTTTACCCTAGAGCTGGACAGAAGCTCTGGAAATTGTGAGTTCATTATCATTAATCAATTTTTACTTCATTTGAACCGTACATTCTGCACCATCGTTTGTTCTCTCCTTTTATCTTTTATATATTACCTGAAGATCGCGTTCCTGTACATAAAGACGACAGAGAGGATACCTTTTTAGGTCGGACTTTTTATCTTCAATAACTATTGATACTGGACACTGTTTATTCTGGCGCAGCCCTCCTTTTATATTTTGATTAAAAGAACACTACAGTGTCAGGAATACAAACGTATATTCCTGACATTATAGTTCGAAGATTGCCATTTAGGTACCTTGCTTCTTGGTTAAAAAGTGAATTGTTTTTTTCCAACACAGATTCCTGTAGATTCCTCTGCCCTCTTGGCTGAGATCATCAAAGTTGATGATCCCAGCCTCTCACAACTTTCCTATGGTAAAGCAATAGATTGGCTGTCGCGCCTATGCAGCAAAATACCACGCTGTCCCTATCAGCATCTCCTCATAGAGTTGCATTGAATCAGTGCATCTCTATGAAGAGTGTTCAGTGCCTTAATGCAAAGCACATTATATAGCACTGACCCAGAAACTCCTCTAGTGGCCATCTGAACTACTGCCATTAGAGGTATTCCTAGGCAGTAATGTAAACAATGTTTACATTAAAATGAATGCAGGAGCAGGCAGTAGACACCAGAATAACTACATTAAGCTGTAGTTGTTCTAGTGACTATATTGTACCTTTTAATGTTATGAGCAATGCAATCGAAACAGCTGACTGTGCAAGGCGGCAAATGAAACTCTTATAAAAGCACCCTGTGACTTTACATTGTCTTCCGTTTCATGGCGGAGTTGCCGCTATTCCTAATACCTTTCACTTCCCATTAATACCATTTACAGTTGACCATGGAATATCTAGCAGGGATGAAATTTCGTTAGGGATGCACCGAAATTTTGGGCCTACCCCATTTCGGCTGAGAATGGGTCAAATTTTCAGAAATTAAAATTAATAATAATGATAAAAATATATATATATTTTTTTTTGGGTAGTGCATAGTTTAACTGCACTTGGGACCGGGGAGAGGGGGGAAAGAACACTAAAAATGAGAGAAGGGAGAGGAACATTAAAGGGACACTATAGTCACCTGAACAACTTTAGCTTAATGAAGCAGTTTTGGTGTATAGAACATGCCACTGCAGCCTCACTGCTCAATCCTCTGCCATTTAACAGTTAAATCCCTTTGTTTATGAACCCTAGTCACACCTCCCTGCATGTGACTTGCACAGCCTTCCATAAACACTTCCTGTAAAGAGAGCCCTATGTAGGCCTTGCAAGTTCTGTTTAATTAAGATTTTCTTATCCCTTGCTATGTTAATAGCTTGCTAGACCCTGCAAGAGCCTCCTGTATGTGATTAAAGTTCAATTTAGAGATTGAGATACAATTATTTAAGGTAAATTACATCTGTTTGACAGTGAAACCAGTTTTTTTTTCATGTAGGCTCTGTCAATCATAGCCAGGGGAGGTGTGGCTAGGGCTGCATAAACAGAAACAAAGTGATTTAACTCCTAAATGACAGTGAATTGAGCAGTAAAATTGCAGCGGGATGATCTATACACTAAAACTGCTTTATTTAGCTAAAGTAATTTTGGTGACTATAGTGTTCCTTTAAGCGGGGGGAAAGAGTGGGGGGGGGGGGGGACACTAAAAGAGAAGGGAAGTTTTTCATATTAGATTAAATTCATTAAAAAGTCTAATAATAAAATTTTATGAAAAAAACTTTTTACAATTCATTTGAGGAAAAGTCCTTTTCGGTTTCAGTTTTCAGCCAAGGACATCATGAATTTTTTTCAGTTTCGGCCCAGAATTTAGATTTCGGTTCATCCCTACCTCTCACAATACCACACTTGAATTCACTAAGCAGTTTTTTTTGTTCCCTACAAATGTTTGTAAATGCAGACTGCATGACTAGGTGCTTGATTTTTATACACTCGTAGGAATTTGTCTGATATAAACACATGAATGGAATAATTAAGAGGTGTGCTCCAATGCTTTTATCCATGAAGTGTGTGTCAGTGAACAGAGGCGCTGACAAAATCTTTTTACAAAACTTTGAGTCCCCAGTCATCTGAGTCTGGCAGCAATAGTGTTCCATAAATCTGTTACTCTTGAAAGTCAGGATCGGAAGTTTATAGTAAACTAGTTTAACTGAGAAGCAAAGTGCAGGAGATATTCCAGGTACAAAATGCTATTCCATGGAGTGTGCTCTAAACTACCAGGGCTAAATAGGGTTATTGTTTTCTTACTCAATCGGTGTCTGGGGAGGGGGGGGATGTATTATTAGTTGGATCATGTGTAAATCAGGAAGTTCGAGGGCAGAGCGTTCGGCTGCCTCCCTCCGTCCATGTTTTGTAGGCCACAACCTTGCTGAGATCCGGAACTGCCGGACACTTGCAGAACCTCTTCAGAACCAGATATGCTGGGGCCCACAGATGCGTTGTGAGTGGGACAAGTTTTGGTTTTTCGATTTAATAATTGATTTAGACGATAATTTGAGTGTTTTTTTTTTTCTTCCTCTTGGAGCTCGTCTGAAAAATGTTTCCGATCAGCTCAGCAGTAAGCTTCACCCCTTGGAAGCTTTTTGTTCTTTATTTTTGTACACTTCTTTTCCTTTAGTCATAAAAATAAACATTTAGTTATCTGGATTTAATTTAAAACCTAAAAATACTTTATTTTTTGTTTTGTTTTAAAGGACCACTATAGGCACCCAGACCACTTCAGCTTAATGAAGTGGTCTGGGTGCCAGGTCCAGCTAGGTTTAACCCTGCCTGCTGTAAACATAGCAGTTTCAGAGAAACTGCTATGTTTATAAATGGGTTAATCCAGCCTCTAGTGGCAGCTGCTAGAGGGCTTCCGCACTTCTCACTGTGATTTTCACAGTGAGAAGACGCCAGCGTCCATAGGAAAGCTTTGTGAATGCTTTCCTATGTACTGGCTGAATGCGCATTCAGCCGAAGAGGAGGAGGAGAGCTCCCCGCCTGGCGCTGGAGAATGAGGTACGTTTAACCCCTTCCTCACCATAGAGCCCGGCGGGTGGGGGCACCCTCAGGGCGCTCTAGTGCCAGGAAAACGAGTATGTTTTCCTGGCACTATAGTGGTCCTTTAAGGCTTAGAAAAGTAGTCAGCCTGTAGTTACCAGCTTTTCATTTATGGCAGTATAAATAATCTTCTATTTCTTACACCTCCTATAAGTTAGCAAAAAGTAAAGCTGCTTTGAGCTGAATATTTGCCATAGTGGAAAGAGACTTTCAACAATAGGATGTGTAGTGATTTTGTATCCTGTTAGCGGTTTGGTCTCAAGTACAATTCCTATTGTATAGAATAGTAATGGAAAATAATTGATACAAAATGAAAGGACGATTAAAAGGACACTACAGTCACCCAGACCATTTCACCACTTCATTTTCCCTGTCCTCTTAACCCTGCAATGTAAAACATTGCCATTTGCAGTGTTAAAATAACACTATAGTGTCAGGAATATTAACTAGTCCTGGTATGGCTGTTTAGGTCCCCAGCCCAGCTCTGATTGTGCCGAAAGTGTTTTTACTTACCTTTTCTCCCACATTATAATGGTCTCACCACAGCTGGCCCCGCCTCCATGGCTGAGATCATCAAACTTGATGATCTCAGCCAATTCAATGCAAGAGCATCGGCTGATAAATTAGCTCCCAGCTAATAAATTAACCTCAGTGCATATAAATATGCCCAGAACGCTGGGCTGGCTGATTACGCCCCAATAACTCTGCCGGAGATGGAGTTACTCCTCTTGTAGTAAAGGGGTTAAAAGTCCTTATGTGCTGCGTTTCATAGTGAAACACTGCACACACTGACTCCAGGCACCATGACCACTTCAAATCACTGAAGTTGTCGCTGCTTGGAGTAACCCTTTTAAAGCTTGTTTTTTTTTTTTGTTTTTTTTTATTACTTGACAAAAAAAAAACTTAATGCTTTACTGTAGAGAGAGCTCGTTTAAATTCTGTGACATTTTGCCCAAGTTAGTGTTTTGTACAGACTGTCACAGAAATCCCAGCTTTAGGGGTGACAAGGTTAGCATGATAGGAATGAAAGGCTTTAGCCATGTGATGTTTACCTGGTCACAGGACATGAAAGATTAACCTTGCCAATCACCCTTTCTCTTTTCGTAACTGTGACAGCAGAGGAATGTTCAAATGGCTGTTTCACTTGGCTGCGTCTGATTCTAACTGAACCGTACAACAAGCTAGCATGTGTTTCCTATTATTACAGCATAGGGATCTGTTTAAGTCAGATTATTCAGGCATTATATAACCATACAAATATTACTTTTAGAAGCATTTGTTTCTCTTATTTTTTTTTTTTATTTTTTTTTTTTTTACAAATGGTAAAATGTCCACTTGTTTTTGTACCAGTCCTAAGATCTGTGGCACCTGTGACAGGGAGGGGTGCAAAACCAAGGATATATATATATATATGTGTGTGTGTGTGTGTGTGTATATGTGTATATATGTGTGTGTGTGTGTATATATAGAAAAAACATCAAAACAGTCTCGTCCTAGGACTTTCCCAGATTTCCGTTTTCTTGTAGTTTGGAATACCTCTTCTGTAAAAGTCCCCAAATAAACAACTAAATGTGCCATGTTAGGAGCTACAAAGGACACTGTGTTCGAAATACCTACAACAAAATGCAGCTAGTAGCACCTGTGACATCAATCACTACATTTCACGCAATACAAACCATTCATGTAAGATACGCAAACCTGTGTACCTTGTGAATAAACAAAATATATACATTTAAATTAAAAACAGAAACCATATGGACGACTCCTCGAGTGACTAAAAAGAGAAAAACTGCCATCGTAGTGCAATAAATGTTTGCAAATAATTGAATTTTCATAAGGCATCAAACTCACATTTCAATGTATCAGCATTGGTGTAAACTTTAAAGGACCACTATAGGCACCCAAACCAGCTCAATGAAGTGGTCTGGGTGCCAGGTCCCTCTAGTTTTAACCCTGCAGCTGAAAACATAGCTGTTTCAGAGAAACTGCTATGTTTCAGTGAGGGTTAATCCAGCCTCTAGTCTCACTAACCGCCACTAAGGCACTTCCGTGATTCTCACTGTGAAAATCACAGTGAGAAGACGCTGGATGTCCATAGGAAAGTATTGGTGCTGACGACGGCAGGAGGAGGAGAAGAAGTCACCAGCGCCGAGGGAACCCGGCGTTGAAGAAAGGCAAGTGGCTGAAGGGGGGACCTAATGGCCCTATAGTGCCAGGAAAACGAGTTTGTTTTCCAGGCACTATAGTGGTCCTTTAACCCCTTAAGGACCAAACTTCTGGAATAAAAGGGAATTATGACATGTCACACATGTCATGTGTTCTTAAGGGGTTAAGCTCAATGCAAATGTTCATCCAAAAGTATCCTACAAAGCAAGGGGAGAAGGCACCACCAATCGAAAAAAAATGCTGCAAATAATGCCCCATGAATACTGTTCACAACGCGTTTTAACAGTTTCCGACTTCCTCCAGTACATAAGTTGTTAGGGGACAGTCTCTGTTTTTTATATAGCGATTTTGGCACCCCCTTTGGAATAGTTCCAGCTCCACTTTTACATCATTACACCCTTGCTGTCGTCCTATTAGTTCTCTGTCCTTTGCACCTGGCAGTCAGCATAGAGAAAGCATACAGTAAAGGAGATAAATTAAACAATGGGGCATATTAATGAAACCGCAACCTGAAATTGACTGTAGACAGTTTAGCTATTTTAGCCTTCATTTTCAGATTTCAGTGAAGTTAAATAACTGAAGTTTACTGAATAACCCTGAATTTTTCTTTTCTCCTCATTTACAATGTTGGTCCTGACTTTGCTTTGTCTGAACTTGATTATGATATCAATTGCTAAATCTTTTATATGAAGTTTAAAATAATAGCTTCTAATGGGGAAAAAAATAGCCCAAGTAATAGGCGAATTTCAATGTTTTATTTAGTGGTATTAATTCAGGAGCTGTGACCGATCACATTTTATATAAAGCTGTAAAAATATGGAGTTACTCCCAGGTTAGAGCATCCTTTTTAAAGTTTGTGTAACATTAAAGGGACTCTCCAGGCAACAAAACAACTTAATCTAAATAACTTTGTGGTGGTGCCAGAAGGTCACTGGGGGCCTTTTTGCCTCTCAAGTGGTTTACCCTAAAGTTGCTTCACATATGTCCACTACACCCCAGACAGCATCCTGTTTCTGAAATGTCTGATTCAGGAAGCGCAGAGTGCCACCGGCAGGGCCGCGGCTGATTGGCTGAGAGCGGTCAGCTGACGCTCTCAGCAATTTAGTGACTCCCCATTCACTAAACTGGCTTGGAAAGAAACATACCTTTCTCAAGCCAGTTTAGTAAATGGGGAGTCACTGACTGGCTGAGAGCATCAGCTAGCCGCTCTCAGCCAGTCAGTGGCACCCCTGACCGGTGGGGCATCTGTCAATTCTGATGCCACCTTGGGGGGGAATGGACATTGCCACTGGAGGCAACTTTGGGGTTAAACCATTCGAGAACAGTATGAAATGTTGTGGTAGTGCCTAGTTTAACTTCAATCATTATTCAGCAGATGTTCATTTTGTTATAACTGATCTTCAAATTGTGAATTCTATAATTGCAATTATGATGCAAGATGTGTTTGCACCTTAGGTACTGCCCCTGTCTGAGCGTGCTGCCTATCACCAGTTTTGCCCAGAGAGGTCCTATCCTCTGAAGAATTCCTTGTGATTTCCACGACATGGCCGGGAGAGGAGCCGCTAGGCCAAACGGTCAGTCACAGGCCAGTAAAATCTGCCAGTTCAAGCTAGTGCTGCTTGGAGAGTCTGCTGTGGGAAAGTCTAGTCTGGTGTTGCGTTTTGTGAAAGGACAGTTTCATGAATTCCAAGAGAGTACAATTGGCGGTAAGTGCTCCACTCATAGTTTAAGCTTTCTCTTTGTATCATGAAGCAGCCCAGTTATGGAAGTATGAACTTGTGTTCCCTTTTAATTAAATCATGTATTTGTTATTCTCTTAGCCAGAGTTCGTGCTTGCATTCATTAAAGCGACACTGTGTAGGCAGCATAACTACTTCAATGGATTGAATAGGTTATGGTGCCTGGAGTCTGTGGGTGCAAGGTCCTGATTCAAAACTAAATGGCTTACTCTCCACTTGTAGTAGAGATTTTCGGTCCCGAGCCTCTAATGATGTGGTGGAGGTGCAGCTATGCTTCTACCTTGTACTATACAAGGGATTGAGGCAGTGATCGACTGAGTGTATCATCTGAACACTCTGTAACCATGACTGTTGCCTCAGGAATGACATAAAGCTGAGCATAGCTTTGCCTTTATCATTTTAGGCTGGTCTGCAGGCTGCCAGGGACCAAGAAACTCTACTAAATGGTGAGTAAACATTTTATTGGTGATGCATGACCCAGCACCCATAGACCAGGCCCCTTAACTACTTAAATCTGTTGAAGTGGTCATGGTGCATACAGTGTTCTTTAATAAAATGATGACAGACATTATTTATGTAGCATTTTTTCTAGGTAGTATGATAAGGTAGCATTTACAGTGCTCAGTCTACAGGGACAGGCTGTAGACACCAGAACCACTACATTAAACTGTAGTAGTTCTGGTTACTATAGTGTCCCTTTAATACGAAGTCTTTCTCTCACCGGTCAACTCTAAATCACAGGGAGAGCAGGAGACACAAGTAAAGATGCACTTTGTTTGTGTGTGTCTCCCCCAAGTCCCTTTCATGTGTCTCTTGGCCCTAGCCCCTTCCCCAGGCCGCAGCACCTCTGTGTGTCTTTCTCCACAGCTCCTGTGTTTGTCTCATTCTCCCCTTCAACAGTCATTCTGTGTGTCTTTTGTTCGTCTTTCAGCCCCTCTGTCTCTTTTTCCCCAGAGCCCTCTTTTTTTTTTTTTTTTTTTTTTTTTTTTCACAGGCTGTCCGTGTGTCTTTTTACTCCCCAGCCCCCATGTGTCCTATTATAGCCCCCTCCCCAGCCCCCATGTGTCCCTTTGCCTCCCCAACCCTCATGTGTCCCATTGTAGCCCTCTCCCCAGCCCCCATGTGTCCCATTATAGGCCTCTCCCCAGGTGTCCCATTATAGCACCCTCCCCAAGTATCCGTCAATATTTGTGGATCCTGTAAACCAACAGAGATCATATTAACGACCCCAGATTGTCTGATTGCACTCAAAGTGACTGCTGCATACAGCTATTTAAATCAGGGCTTGACAAATCCCAGGTTGCCAAGGCGACTAGGAATTGTGTCCTGGCGCCTTGGATATGTCAGCCTGTTCAGCGTAGTCAATGCATCCCTATGGGGCATGTCCAGCATCTCCATGCTGAGCCTTTTTATAGGTATCTGGATGGGTTTGGCTTGTTCCAGACTTGACTTTTTACTTGCTCTCCATTGTCTGAATATTCTTAGGAATTATGTTCATGTATTTTGCATGTTTTTCCTCCTCAGCTGCTTTTCTCACTCAGTCTGTGTGCTTGGATGATACGACAGTAAAATTTGAGATTTGGGACACAGCAGGACAAGAACGATACCATAGTCTGGCTCCTATGTATTACCGGGGTGCTCAGGCTGCAATTGTGGTGTATGACATCACCAACCAGGTATATAATGAGATAATGTGCCTGAAAACCATCCTAGTGTGTTCATAAGTATGTGTAATAACCCAATGAAGCATGCAAGATTGTTCTGGTTCAGTAAACTGCTCCATGCAGACAAATTTCTTAAATTCATACAATATTTTCAAATGCATGTACAACGCAGTCTATCATAAAACATCTTAAACATAATGATAAATATTGCAAATCTTTTGCTTTCAGTGTCATTCTGAAACCCATAGATAGATAATGTAAAACACTGAAAGCATTATTCACTGAAGTGTGAATTGTAACAAATTTGAATTGTGAATTATGAATTAGAGATTATTAAAATAGGATAACTGAAAATATGTCTGACTAGCAGTTTTTTTTTATCCTGTTTGGCTATTGTTTCCTAAAATTTGTGTTTCACTTTGAGATCCTATCAATTTACCCTTTAGTGGGAAAAAACCTATATGATGTATTTGGTTATGTTTGCTTTCATCTTGTTGTAGCTTGTTTCTGTATGAATTAATGAATTTTTGTAACCACTTTGGTTTTTTCTTTGTGTTTTTTTTTTTTTTAACATTTTAGTCTATAGCAAGTATGAAATCCTGCTCAATTAGAAAAAATGTTTAGCACTGAAAATTAGTGCATTAAAATTATTTTCAGGACGCAACTAAGAAAAAAAGAAAACATTCAATAAAACAAAAAAAAAAAAACTCAAAATTGGTTTGTGAGTAGTTGTATGACCAAGCCACTAGATGTCACTGCATATATGGCTTCTATAAGCTAGCTTGCCTTGAGGATTTTATTCATTGCAATTTTATTTATGTATTTGACTACAAATTGTTATTTTTAAAAAAAAAAAAAGTTTTTGTTTCATTTTTTTTTTTTTTTAACACTGAACTCCCAGTGAAATGTCTGCTTTAAGAGGCAGTCTAAGCACCATAACGTGCAGGTGTAGAGTTTATGGTGCCTGATTTCTGGTCAAATAACTTTTGAGTGATTAGCTGATGTACCCTGCCAATGAATGGCTGTAAAACATGGACTAAATTGACATTTAAAATGCACAAATGGAACTTCCTCATTAGCTGTAACTAAAAAGGGCTGGACTATGAGTAACTTGGTAGGAGCTTTTTTTGGTCAAACTGTTCACAAATGGTTGAACATAGAAGTGCTGGGTGCTGCCCACAGCTAAAACTAACTACTACTTCACGATAACTATGGTTCTCGAACCTAGACTAGTCGGATAATGCATGCCCATTTATTTATTTGGTTATTCTTCTCTTCAGGAAACCTTTGCTAGGGCGAAAACCTGGGTTAAGGAGCTACAGAGACAAGCCAGTCCTAACATTGTGATAGCACTTTCGGGGAACAAGGCAGATCTCACTAACAAACGCATGGTTGAATATGAAGTGAGTATTTTTCCTTCTTTGTTTCACCTCTGAACATCCCATTAATTATTCACACGTGTAACCAGAGTAAATACTTAAACTTAAGGCGTTGGATGGAAGATACAATCAAAGGGATACATATCTCTTATTGTTGCATGTATTTATAAGGGCAGGTGGGCAGCTTTTGCTATTCACTCCTGATCTCAGACTGGGTGCCATTTCGATATTCAGATAGATTTGTTAATGTAATTTTGTAATTCTTTAGAAAATCCCAAATGTGCTTCAATTCTAAGGGGGTGCACTCTCTACTTATGGGAGTTACTTATTTAATGGAATAGTGATTTGGCTCTCTTGTATTGTCCAAATGACTTCCATATGAAGGGAAACTAACATATTTACAGTTTCATTGTTTCAGACATTGTTTAGATGGGTTTTCAAAATGTTAGGTGAATCGAACAGTCTGCTTTTATCCACAAGTCACAGAACTAAATAGATATATTATTTCCCGTTATAAAACATAGTGGGCATATGAATCTTACACCCTCAACAATTTATTTAATAAGTTGTATGGTGTTATTGAATAGCTCATTTTCTGTTACACTAGTTGCTAGTTTTGCATGCTGAAGCTTATGATTTCACTTTCTTTTTGCCATGTATTCATGCAACAAAAAAGGACTCTACAAAGTTCTACACACTTGCATACAAACCCCTCCTGTGTTGCATTCATATCTATCAACCACCTTATGATTGTTTGATTTTTTTTTTTTGATTTTTTTTTTTTTTTGGGACTTGCGTCATTATACTTTGTGCATATTTGCAGGAGGCCCAGGCATATGCAGATGACAACAGTTTGCTGTTCATGGAAACCTCAGCCAAGACCGCAATGAATGTCAATGACCTGTTCCTTGCAATAGGTGAGGCTTTATCTTTGTATAAAGGGAAATTATCACCCAAGTTATGTGAAACACATAGATATGTGGTGATGCACAAATTTATATATCTAAACACAAACACCTGTATAATGGATTCCACAATCTGCTACTGATATATCTTTAGCTGTTAAGTGATTATATTATCAAGGTTATATTTATTTATAAACCACTAACCTATTCACACTTTTATTGTAGAAGCATTGAATTTTACAGAGTTTATTTGAGTTGTATTAATAATTTGGTATAAGTTCTTGAGCAGGATGTTTTAATACTCTCTGAGGGAATACCATTTCAATAACATACTCCATGTTATGCACTAAAGTGAGAATTGTCAGGAATTCAAAGTGAATTTCAATTTGAAAGCTTAATCCGCTGAATTAAAAAAATTCTCCAAGTCCACGATGCTTCCAGTTGGACTACCTTGTTAGATATTTGGGGGTTTATTACGGCCTGTAAAAACAAAGTTAAATGGCAGATGAGATTTCTGGCACTTGTTCTTAGTATGCAGCAGCTAAGCTAAACCTTCCCAAACCAGAGTCTCTTCTTTCTGGTCGTAGATACAGATAGAATGGGGAGTGTAGCAAAGCAGCGCTTTATAGATAAAATCCTTGTGGAGCAAATCTAAAAGAAAACAGAATGGTACAGAAATACAAATATAGTGTAGCAGATCTAAAAGAGGTGGGGGAAAAACGTAAAGTAAAATATTGCCCTCACACTTTTTTTTTTTTTTCTGGAGCTATAGATCAGCTCCGGATCACAGCGTATGGACCTGTATAATCCCAGTCTGTGGATATATAGGTGGTCCTGGTCCTCTCTGGTATCATATCTTTATGCCAATAACCCACGTGATTTATTATTATTATTATTATGGCCATTTATATAGCGCCAACAGATTCCGTAGTGCTTTACAATATTATGAGGGGGGATGTAACTATAAATAGGACAATTACAAGAAAACTTACAGGAACAATAGGTTGAAGAGGACCCTGCTCAAATGAGCTTACAGTCTATAGGAGGTGGGGTATAAGACATGTTAAGACCGGAAATATCAATCAAATAGGGTGGGAGTGAAGCAGAGCTGGAGGAGAGAGTAAAGCACTGCCCTATAGGAGAGAGCCAGAGACAGGTATGTAAGGTAGAGGTTACTCTGGGAGGCCATAAGCTTTCCTAAAGAGATGGGTTTTAAGGCCCTTCTTAAACCATTGAAGACTAGGGGAGAGTCTGATGGGGTAGGCAGGCTATTCCATAGGAAAGGAGCCGCCCGCGAGAAGTCCTGCAAGCACGAGTTGGCCGTACAGGTGCGAGCAGCGATCAGGAGGTGGTCACGGGCAGAGCGGAGGGAACGAGGAGGGGCATACCTATGGATTAGTGAAGAGATATAAGAGGGGCTAGAATTGTTCAGTGCTTTAAATGTATGGGTGATGCTTATATCCAGGATGATACTTCAGTAATATGCAGAGAATATAAAAGTACAAAGAGAGTACTCTCTGCTTATATAAAACAAATAAAATGAAAAAGGAGATATATTCACAGTAGATGAGCAGATAGGAATTGCTCAATCTTTAACAGCATAGGTGGTTTGTCCCCCACCCAGAAATTTGAGATACAGCTTCTCCAGTAGAAGATGTTCAATGAAGGTCCAAAGGTAAAATATAAACTAATTTTATTATACAAATGGAAAGAAAAAAAAAAAAACTGAGTAACACACTAATGCCTTTCACCTATATAAAAAAGGCTTTTTCAAACCAGAGGGGACCAGGACCATCTATATACCCACAGACGGGGATTATGCCGTCCATATGCTGTGATCCGGAGCTGATCTATACCTCCAGAAACGTGTGCGGGCAATATTTTACTTTACGTTTTTACCTCCAACTCTTTCAGATTTGCTTCACTATATTTGTAGTCCTGTACCATTCTGTTTTCTTTTAGATTTGCTCCATTGGACTCTACACTAGGATTTTATCTGTAAAGCGCTGCTTCCCTACACTCCCCGTTCTATCAGTATAAAAATGATTTTATTTTTTTTTTACAAAAATTGCCACTTGTAAACCCCAGATATATCAGATTTGAATGCTGATGTGACACTGGAGCACTTCAAAAGCAAATTTCTTTGGGGACATCCTGTCCATTACCTATTGGGTTTAATTTTAAGTGCACCCTTCTTTTGTCGCACACAGTGTGTGGAGCGCCAGTGTTCATACGATAAAGTGACTGCAACTGCTTATTGAGCTTATGCAGTGAATCTGAGTGAGAGAAGGCTTCAGCAGATAATAATCTGGTACTCGACAAGTGTGGATTTTAGTGTGTATTCGAGGATCAACGCATTTTACAGATTTACCATGTGTCAAGTTTCACAGAAAATGGGTTTATTCATTCGAGATTGTGGAAAAACGACAAGGGGATTGCATACTTGTAGTCAAAGTAGTTGAGCTGTAGAATGTTTTCCAGTTGGTCTTCTTTTACCTACAATTTACACTATACAGTATGTGGCACAATAAAGCTGGCTATGTAGTAGCTGTGTGACGTGAAAAACATGTCTACCAAGCGAATTGTAGGCAGTAAACGTACTACCAGAGTCAAAGCGTGTTTTAAAAGCTTTCACCAAATGAAACTGTAATACATCATTCTTGTGACATTTTTATAAAGATAAATGCTATCTCCTGTAACATAAAATAAATAAATAAATATATATATATATATATATATATATATATATATATATATATATATATATATATATATATATATATATATATATATATATATATATATATATTAGCAACATTAGGCCGCCAGTTCGTTGACTTCAGCTGAGCGAAGTACAGACACCCAGGTGTGTTAATAACCTGGAGTGCATCTGCCTTGTTTGTGAACTCTCCTCACCCTTAAGTCATCTGAACTTTTACTTCTTTCACTTTCCCCTATAACATGAATATCTGAATCTCTTAAAACAGTCACTTCTGTGGACTATGGCAGGACCAACTTAATGGATTGTATTTTAGAAATAAATATTTTTCTCTCCAACAAGATTTAACTTATACTGGGTCATCACCAGGCAAATACAATAGATTAATAACCGGTCCTGAACAAATCCAGAACCTCTGGCTGGCCAGTTAGAAAAATATTCTGTAATGCTTGCATAGAATTAATATTCAGTCCAATCAGCGGCAAAATTATTGACTCAAATCTCCCTATGCAAGTAAGTGTTACTAACAGGTTTTTTTTTTTATGGTGTGTTTTTCATTTATTTTATTTTTTAGGATTATGTCTAGATTTGTGGCCAAAATATGCTTTCCTCTTGTTTTTACAAATATTTAAAGTTTGAATTTTGTTGATTTCTATTTATGTATTCTCCTGTAGTCCAGGGTTAAAAATTTCATACCTAAAAGTGACTTGCCCCTTCAAGCCTTGGAAGGTCTGTGGCATACTAACAAGGGGTGAATTTTCACTCGCCAAATGCCAGTGGGAACTAAACATTTTGAATCCTGCTGTATTTATATTTTTCTAAATAATATATGTTCTACAGAGTGAATAATCTTATTGTCTGCAAGAAATGTGTATTTCGTTATTCAATTCTGACACTTCTTACAGGGTCCTGTAAGAGGAGTGGTTTATGAAAATAGTTGCTCTAGGTATTGTAACCTAAAGTTTGTAAAATATGTGAGTTACATGGAATGTTACACCGAAGAGATTACTTACACTAATAGTAATTATATAAAAAGTAGAGAAATAATGTTTTCAGTTTATTTTTGAGTAGTTTATTTACAGAGAGGCTATGTTGAAGAGATATTTTATATTATCTTCAAGAACATGTGCAAAATGTAGGTTTAAAAAATTATTCTCAACTGTTACAAATGTTTTTTCTTACGTTTAATTGAGGCAGAATCTTTATTTTGTTTTAAAACATTTTTGGAAGGCTATTCCAAGCTTGACAAGCTTTGTAAGAGAAGGCAGTTTAATTTTATTTTTGTCATTTTATGTGAAGTGTCAAAGGTGCTTTGACACATTCATTATCTCTCCCCCACAATCTGTTAGTACTGTTAGCTTTGTAGAAAGAGTGAAGATGATAAGGCACATATGTCAATGGCACTGACATTTAGGAGTTAACTAATCTGCTTGTATAATCATATCACTGTGATCGGTATTGATAGAACAGTGTGACATTATCAATTATGCAGAGTTCTTAATCTACTGAGATGGATGCACAGCAATGATGCATCCAGCTCTCCATAGTCAATGGGTGATATATCAATATTTGTTCCACTATCAATTTTAACACAAGCCAACTCTATATGGCATTACGAAGGTAGTTGTGTACTAAGAAACCTGTTTAGACACTTTCATTTGTAAATAGCAAACTAGTATGCATTGATTACCTTCCTCTATCAGAAATCCTCTATTTGGAGCAAATCTCCCCTTTTAAAGTAAACATGTCTAGCTAGATAAGATTTTAATGTTGATAAAAGATGTATGAGTGGCAGTACCGCTTTAACTTGAAGGGCACTATTAAGCTTAGTGACCAAATGTATTTAGGAGCGTTTTTTACTTAATTGACTCCCGAAGCACCTCTGATGAAATAATTATGTAAAACCAGCCTTTAAAGATCCCACATAATAATGGAATATCCCACTTGTTTGACTGTGACAGGGCTGTATAGATCTACAAGTGAAATAAGCAGGGTATTCCATACTAGCATAAGGTCTATAAGGCTCAGAGTGTGAAATAAGCCTGAGATGATGTTGGTCCTTAAATGGTTAAATTATTATTATTATTATCGCCATTTATATAGCGCCAACAGATTCCGTAGCGCTTTACAATATTTTGAGAGGGGAGATGTAACAATAAATAGGACAATTACAAGAAAACTTACAGGAACAATAGGTTGAAGAGGACCCTGCTCAAACGAGCTTACAGACTATAGGAGGTGGGGTATTTGAAACATTAGGACAAGAAATATCAAGTAGGAGTGAAGCGGAGCTGGAGGAGAAAGCAAAGCACTGTCCCATAGGAGAGAGCAGGAGACAGGTATGTAAGGTAGAGATTACTCTGGGAGGCCATAAGCTTTCCTGAAGAGATGGGTTTTAAGGCCCTTCTTAAATGATTGAAGACTAGGGGAGAGTCTGATGGCAGTAGGCAAGCTATTCCATAGGAGAGGAGCCGCCCGCGAGAGGTCCTGCAAGCGCGAGTTGGCCGTACGGGTGCGAGCAGCGGTCAGGAGGTGGTCACGGGCAGAGCGGAGGGTACGAGGAGGGGCATATCTATGGATCAGTGAAGAGATATAAGCGGGGCTAGAATTGTTCAGTGCTTTAAATGTATGGGTTAGCACTTTGAATTGACTCCTATAGCATACAGGGAGCCAATGTAAGGACCGGCAGAGGGGTGAGGTGTGAGAGGACCGACTAGAGAGGAAAATCAGTCTAGCTGCAGCATTCATTACAGACTGTAGCGGGGCAATACGGCTTTTGGGGAGACCAATCAGGAGAGGGTTACAGTAATCCATGCGGGAAATTACTAGAGCATGGACAAGCTCCTTGGTAGCATCTTGCGTAAGAAAGGGGCGAATGCGGGCTATGTTTTTGAGTTGGAACCCACAGGACTTGGCAACAAACTGGATGTGAGACTCAAAGGTGAGACCAGAGTCAAGTATGACGCCAAGACTCATAATCATGACATTATAGAAAATTAAGGGGTGCTTGTGACTTCTGTGTTTAAAATGAAATTAAAGCTTTATTTCTAACCTATTGCATCATTGAAGCAATAATAAAATCTTTATTGCTGTCTAAATATGCCTACATAATCTAAAACATATGTTTCTTAAATGTGCATAGTGTTACACTTTTCACTCAATTCAGAATAATAGGTGTTGCACACTTGTGTTGTTGGAGAAAAACAAATGTGTAGGTAATAGTGCATTGTGCTGCTACCACCAATGCAGTTTACTGAACTTACAAAGATTGCATTACAAGTGTGGTGTCACTTGGTGTGAAAAATCTGTCCAAAATATTTAATTTCACAAATATGTGCTCTAATTTCTCTATTGACTTATCCATTTCCAAAAATGATGAACCTAGTGCAAAGTGTTAAATAGTTGAAATGGCCTTCCTATACTCTGATCTGTCCCAGTAATGTGGGGTTAGGAAATGCAAAGTCAGAGAGAGAATTCATAAGAGGTGGGGATAGAGTAAGAAGGAACATGGTGGAGCTCATGAAGGGCTGGGGATAACTGTGGGAAAGGATTGTAGAGAATATGAAACAAGTGTTTTATAAAAAAAAAAAATAGGAGTAGAGTATGTAAGAGAGGTAAGCAGAGCAATGAACACATATGGAAAAGAAGACAACAGAAAGGGTGACCTAGAGGACTAAAGTGACTTCGGAGGCTAGCAAATCAACATGGCGGTTGGTGATCAAAAAAATGACTAATGCAACCATTGATGTTAGGCACTCCCCATTTTTTTGGTTTGGAAGGGACGCTTATAATTCAAAAGATTAGGATAGAAGAAAAGCGTATCATCTTTATCTGTGTAGATTAAATCAATGTTATCTCGTGCTTTTTAATTTTTACATTTTTTTTTTATTACAAATAATAGTGTGGAAGTATGTGTAAAATGGGGTGCATGTAAATAACTGCTTGTCAGAGAATTGTCCGAAATCCTTGTCTATTGATGGAAAAGATAAACAAAAGTGAATGGAAAGAGTGATTGTATCAGGACATTTCTAAATATCTTTCAGGTGTGAAAAGTAATTAAAAAAAAAAAAAAAAGTTCCAGAACTTTGCTTTATGGTATGATTTGTAAGATTACACAGCACATGCCAACATCTCCTGGCATAAAAAGATCTGCTGAAATCTGTGTTTCTTTTGAAACATAAAGGGACAGTCTTGGCACTATAACCACTACATGCTGATATAAAGGTTTTGGTGCTATTAGGAATTAGCTGACCTCACCGATAATGAATGGCATAAAGATGAGAATTAAATTAATATTGCCAAAATAGAAAGGAACTTTGCGTTAACAACTCTGTCAAGTTGGGGCCAGATACAGGTGCTTGGCATACCCTCTGTTTTGGGCAAATCACTTAAACAGTTTGATCAAGAACTTGGGGGATATTTCCCACAGCCTAATGATACTTTATCGACTTGTAGTTGTTATGGTTCCCAGACTGCCCCTTTCAGCCAGTTTCTTTTATAAAGTCTGTGTGCATCGAATGTGTATAGTGTTTGGGTATATGCAATTCTGGGAAAACTTGTAAAGGATACATCCACATTCTCTCATATTTAAATGAAGTGTTACTCCGCATGATATTAATTGTCTTAACTTCTAGCCAGTTCAGTCCTGAATAATAATGCGCATGCTGCTATCTCTGGCAATTAACCTCATTTATAGTAACAACTTTGTTTCCCTGAGGTTCCTTTAGATATGGAAAGTACTGTTGACAATTTAATCTTGCTGAGCACTTGAACTAAATGTCATTCACCTTTTCCTTATCCCACGCTTAAGGTTAGTTTTCTCCTTGGTTTCGTATTCATAGCTAATAAAAGAAAATCGCATTGTAACTTGGGTGAAATTCACATTCACATTTTATTTGTATTGCAAACCTTACAAATTCAGTAGACAACAGATATAATGTATGTACTGTATTTGTATATGGGTGTATGATTTGAAGTGTGCATGGTTTGTATTTGCAGTGTTTCACTATGACTTCACCTCAGATAGTCATTGGACCGACATTAGCTACCTCACTATTCCAGATGGCCAATGCGAATTCTGTGCATATTAAAGGACCACTATAGGGTCAGGAACACAAACATATATTACTGACCCTATAGTGTTAAAACCACCATCTAGCCCCCTGCCCACCTCATGCCTCCCTAAATATAGCAAAATCTTACTTGTATTCAAGCCTGAAGCTGCTGTCTCTGCCCTGTCTGCTGACATCATCAGAAGTGGTAGACTGATCCAATCACAGTGCTTCTCCATACGATTGGCTGAGACTGACAAGGAGGCAGATCAGGGGCAGAGCCAGCATGATTCAAACACAGCCCTGGCCAATCAGCATCTCCTCATAGAGCTGAATTGAATCAATGAATCTCTGAGGAAAGTTCAGTGTCTGCATGCAGAGGGAGGAGATACTGAATGTTTGGATGTATTTTAGGCAGCCATTACCCAAGAAGGATCTCTAACAGCCATCTGAGGAGTGGCCAGTGAAGTTATCACTAGGCTGTATGGTAACCACTCCATTTTCTCTGAAAAGACAGTGTTTACAGCAAAAAGCCTGAAGGTAATGATTCTACTCACCAGAACAAATTCAATAAGCTGTAGTTGTTCTGGTGACTATAGTATCCCTTTAAACACCTGTCTTCAGCAGGCTGCTGGTGACAGGTGTCCAATAGACTGCCCTTTGGTGACATATCCCTGACACATCTCCTCCAGCAAAATGAAGGGACATCAGCAAAGGAATATTGGGCTGCAAGGAGAACTTTGTGGCGGCACTGGAACATAGGTGAGTCTGTGTCCCCTAAGGGTGGTTAGCAGGCAAGTTCAGAAGGGATAGATTGTAAATACAAGTCAAAAGATAAATAAAGTCCAAAAATCAGGAGAGCAGAAAGATCCCCAAAGAAAAACTCCCATTTGGCTTCCTCACACTGGAAATGCACACTGTGTTTTGAACTGTTAATCAGCATAATATTCAAATCCACGTCATACCTTACAGCAGGTTCAGCACTGAATAATACACAGGCTGCTATCTCTAGCAATTAACCTCTTTATTGTAACATTATTTCCCTAAGGTCTTTTTATGATAAGGAAAATTGATAGTTTAATGTTGCTGTGAACTTGAACTAAATGTCATTCACCTTTTCCTCATACGATCCTTAAGGTTCATTTTCTCATTGGTTTAATTAGCATAGTTAAGAGAATTGTGGCTGTGACCTTGGGAATATATGGCATTTCAGCAGCATTGCAAGCTGTGCCAGTTTAGCACTGAACAGTAATAATTCAAAAAAACATTTCAGATTTTTATTATACATATACATACAACAGGATTTTATGTAAAGTACATACATATACAACAATGCATTATACTGCAGACTGAAATATACTGTGAGAAAAAGCCACTATTAGAATCATATTTTAACACATGGCACATATCATTTGCATTGTACCTGCCACTTATTACAAACAATTTTAGATGGCACATCCGATATGAGAAGGGAAATTATGGGGAAGCAGAAGTCTAGGAAGGCTGTAAAAGAAAACAGGTTAGGGAGAAGATAAGAGGAAAGGAGCAATGTCTTCAAAGTTAAATCTAATTGTTCAGATAGGCACATATGTTCTCATGATGGATTAAGACCTTAGAATTGCTATCTCCTGGACTGTGGTGCCTGTCCCCTGGAGGGATTTATTGAGTGAATGCCAATGAGGATTTGGAAAACATGCGTCTTTTGTTTGTTTTGTTTTTTAATATATGACTCCGATGCCGCAAAAAATAAATCAATCTACTACATAGGTGTCAACAGTTCAGATTTTGCAGGGACAGTCCTGCATTTTGGGGTTTTGTACTTGCAAAAATGGGTTCTGGTGACCTGTCCTGCTTTTTGAAATCTGTCAGACAGATTTTAGAATTCAGGAAGGGACAAGGCACTAGTACCATATGATGTTCTTGACTGCAAAGTGTCTCTGTATCTCTATCTCCTAATGAGACATCTGTTCTGGACAATGGTGCCATAGTAATAAACCTCAGTAGTTAGCAGGGGGTAATAGTAATTGGTTGTTGGAGGTCACATCAGCCATATACTTAGCATGTTCCATCAGCTTTGGGTTGGGGGTGTTGCATAGCTAAATACCAGAGCCCTTAGTCACTCTCCCAAGAACTTTATATCTAGGACAGGTGCTCAGAATGTGTTTGAAGCAGCTGGACAGCTTAAGATGTTCTGCATTAGAAAAATAGTATGCTGTGCTTCGCTTGTACTGGCTTTTCTGTGATTCACCATGGTCAGTAAGTAGAGATGGGCTGTTGTGGGCTGTTGCTGCTAGGATATACTGTGACTTCTTGGCCTAGTAGGCCCAACTTGCTGTGTGTTGTTTCTGTGCACAGAAATGCATAAAAGGGGTACCAGTCTGCTCAGACAAGTTTTCCAGTAGTAGTAAGGATGGATAGTTTATCTTCGTTGCAAATACCAAGATGTTTATTTCAAAAATGTATTTTTATCTGGATGTTCCCATCAGTTTGACAATGCTTATGTCCTGTCTGGTTGCCAGCTTGGCTTCACCCCCAAAAGGATTCTGAAAATGTGAGAAACTTTTCAAATTACTTTCTCTCTGTCAGAAGGAAGATATAGTCTGTGGCATTTTATAAAACAGACATTGTTCATCTTCCCAGTTCCCTTTAGTGTGTGTGTGTGTGTGTGTGTGTGTAATTATTATTATAATTTTTTTTTTTTTTTTTACTCTTGTGCAGCCTTTTGTAAAACTGAACATTTTAAGTTATATAAGCAATGAATATAGACCAAATACTATGAGATTGAGCTGTTACGGGGGCAAAAACTCTTGTTTTGTTTGTTCATTTATTTTTATTTATTTTTTCATTTTTCATATATTGTACTAATAACCATTCAAAAGTGCAGCTAAAGATAAGAAAATAAAACCGGATAAGCCAAAACAGTGTGTCCCTATTCTGAAGTGAGCAGAGAGAAATTGTAATGGGCCACAAGATAGATTTATAGCAGATAACCAGATGCTTGTTCAAATGCCATTTCTAAAAAGTTTTTGTAAATATGTATTTAATCAAGAGTTTCATTGTCTAATAAAAATTAAAATACAAAAAATTAACAAAAAGGCATACTGAGTGATCAATATGAGGCATGCATGTCTCAGTATAAATTAAGAGTATATTCTGGGTCAAAATACACATCAAAAATACCACGTTATAGTGCTCATATCATTCCTTAATACGCATAAACTGTAACCAAAACCTAGGATTTTGGTGGGGGAAAAACTTTATGCATCCCAATTACTCAGAGCCTGAAATAAATCCACTTTTGACATATATATGTTAATGTGATGCTAGTTGAAGTCTGTCAGGCCAATTTTATTCTTGCTCTGGCTTTATTGGTTCCAGTAGTTATGCATGATCCCCTTGTTTTGGATTTGATTGCATTCACATAGTGTAATTCTGGAAACATTTGTGAAGACAATTAATGTCTCTCTACCAATTGCACCATTAGCTGGTACTTGGAGTGCCCTGGTAAGTGACAAGATACTTAATGACAACATGAATCCTCAAGTGCTACATACTATGGTAGAGTTCCATTGGCATGCTTTAGAAGTCTGCACATAGGGCATATAGTTAAAGCTTATATCTTAAACAAATGGCTAGAAGACCTGTGATCATTACTATATATTTTATAATTGCTATAAAATATACTTACATTGTCTGTAGTTGTTCTTGGAGCTAACCTATATATATCTGGTTTTATGTTTAAACAGCTAAGAAGTTGCCAAAAAATGAGCCCCAGAACACCAGTGGGGCTACAGGTCGGAACCGAGGAGTAGATCTTCATGAGCAGTCGCAACAAAGTAAGAGCCAGTGTTGCAGCAACTAAGAGTGGAAGACAGAGAGTGAAGGGGGAGCCAACATACGATTTATAACCTCTATTCCTGCATCTGTCCATCTGTCCTCCAGAAATACAACTTAATACCCTTCCAGCACTCCTCCGCCAGGACCTTTCCCTTCGCACAACTACTCCACCGGGTAACAGCACACATGGAAACAAACGAACCAGCTTGAAACCCCCAGCCCTACACCGTCTCAGCCCTGGAAAAGCTCCTTGTTAACTCTACTTTTTGTGTGTTCTATTTTCTTTGTTTTTTGGGGTTTTCTTTATGCTTCCCACAAACACACTCAAACTATTCTTGGTGGCACAGCAAAGAAATGCGCAGGAACTATGCCTTTTCTATAGAGCAAATCTTGCAAACAAACTCTAAATACTTTGTAATATAGCTACATAGTGACTTTATTATTGATCTTTTCATTTCTTATAGTGTCCGCTTTATGTATCCCATTTTCAGGCCTTCAAACTTCAATGGCGCCTACACAAAACAGAATTTACCACTTGTAAACTTTTTTTTTTTTTTTTTGTTTCTTGCTACAAAGCTACCAAATGTCTTTTATTTGTGTGCCTGCACTTTGACCGTTGTGGATGGTAAATAATCCATCCACTTTGACCCTTCGCACACATGACTGAAAACCATGAAGAGTGGTTACTTAAATGATGGTGTATCTATTATTTTAAGCAAAAAAACTGCAGTCCGTTTTTGTCCTTCTAGCTTGTTTAGGAGAGTACAAGCATCTTTGCTTTGCTCATTGACGTTTGAGGTCTTGGTTAACCAGCAGGTTTCTGATTCCTTTTTACGTACAGGTTTGGAACACCCTTGCTTCCGTCTTTGGTGAAATGGTTATCTTATGGAACCCTTTTCTGGCTTTAAAAGTGTGTAGTCTAAAAACAGATGTGTTCACAAGGCAATTTGTAAGTCACTTGTACCAACAGTATTGTACACATAGATATTTACTAGATGGTGTGAACTGCCTAGGCTTTTATTTCTTTTGTAATTTAAATTTCACTCCAAATTTGTGTTCTACCACTTTTAAAAGGCAGGTAATTTGGGTGTTTTTATCAGGGGAATTTATAGAACAATGTCTGTCTTTACTGGAGAACATGAACACATATTGTCTGTGCTAATCGTTAACTAATGCCACTGGCTTATTTATGTGTAAAATAGCAGTCATGTGATGCCATTAAAGTGAATAGGGTAGAGTTATTCATACAGTTCATATGTAGAAAGCTGTTAATACTAATTATGGGTTAACATAGTATTAACTTTTATTTTGAGTTATATCTAAAAGGAGCTTAGGGGTTCCTTGGGTTGACATGAACATTAAGAATTGGCTTGGTGATGCTGTTACACTGATTCAGAAAGTAAATGTAGTGGCTGGTGTTTGTGTGAAGCATTTTGATATAACCCTATTCCAAATAACCTGTGTGAAAGGTTTTGAGCTGGCCATATACATGTTGTCTAAGATACAAGATAATCTTTCTTCAGTGCCCATGGTAAAAAAAAGATTAGCAAAATAGATGTAGCTTTCTTTTCAGCCCTGTTTTTTTACATTGCATTTTTTTATTTCTTGCCCCCTGTTAAACCTGCGTGTGATTAAGTATTGCATATTGGAAGAACTGCCTTGAGCAGTATGCACTTTAGTTTACAAATGGTTGAAAGGTTGCCTTGAATACGTTTCTTTAAGGTTTGTTTCCTTAACCCAATGGTATTAAGATTGTCCAGTTAGCTCTCTAGTTTGCTGCAATGAGGAGCTGATCAATGTCACTCCATTTCATTAGGGCTCATCGGCATTCCACTGGTTCTATCTCCGCTTCTTTTCCATTACTTTTAAGATTGTTCACAACATCCATGTCTCTTGCCCTGACTGTTTACAAATTTTTAAAGGTTGTTCTCCTAAACAGAAGGAGCCGTTACTGGGCCACAATGTACCAAATCTAAGGCTTGAGATACTCTATTCTGTACACTAAGTGGCATGGCAGGTATGTGCCTTTCTGCGTGTATGGGTTTGTGTGAGTGTGAAATAAGTGTTCGAATTATTGGTGGCTTTCTGGATTGTGAGATTAATCTTGACTTGTGCCTTCCTTCCAAAGCTGGACTGGAGAGTTGTGAACATGTCCTGGTGTATTTAAAGACATTTTTATATAAGAAAGTCCAAAATATCATAAAATAAAATGTACCCAGGTAGCTTCCCTTTCTAATTCGCCTTCTCTCATATCTACTTAAACACCTTCATAGGGACAATAGAATGACATTAATGATTCTTGACATCTTGTGGAATGTGGGCTGGTAATGTAAATCTCATCAACAGAGTACGCCACCTTTGGTCACTTCAGATATTCTGTGGAGTTGACCGGGATTATGGTGAATTTGAAGTTCACAAGAGAAAGGGGCAACTTTGTTTCAACGTTTGCTTCTGTGTTGTCCCATTAATAGGATTTCCTGCCAAGTTTTCACTAGACTGTACCATCAAACTCTCGGGGTCACTGTAAGAACCCATACCATTTCATCTCATTGAAGTGGTCTGGGTGCAATGTCCCTGTCCCCCTTATATCTGCATGAGAATAGCTAGTGTCAAGCAAAACCCCATAGGAAAGCATTGATTCAAAGCTTTTCTATGGGGAAGGCCTAATGCGCATACACATTAGGCCCACCCCCTCCTTTAACTGATGTTGGCAGAGGACAAGCACCACCCACTACTGATGGACTTCAGTGTTGTATTCTGGTAAGTGAATGAAAAGGGTATATTTTTTTTTTAACCTTTCATGGACAGGGGGGGCTGCGTGGGCAGAGAAACACTTTGTGTTAGAAATACATAATGTGTTTCTTTAATAATGAGAGAGAATGGAATACTTCAGTTGTCACGCTTGGGCTTCTGCTTATCAGCCAGCTGGTTTCTCTTGACTGTATATGTTTTTCTGTAAAACTCTAAGCTCTCTAGTTGTGGATTATAACTGTGCTGTTCACAGACTAGAAAGCTGCATATTCCGGTGCTCCACTTTGAAGAAAGTAGATACTAGACAACATTTTTGTGAAAAATGTGCAGAGTTACAAAGTGCAGTGTTGAATTTCACACACGAACCTCTTTGCATCTTCACATTTACATGTCAGTAAATTTATATTGCACTGAAAAGTTCCTTCATATACCTGCACGTCAGTCCTTGTTGAAAGAAGTTTGTTAACCAATAACAACGGGGTATCATGTTCTACACTGGAATATATTGCATGCTCTAATGCACAGGAGTTACAAGACCTCAATTCAGGCTTTACATTAATCATGTCTGAGTTAACTCTTTACGGTTTACTTAGAACATAATCATATTCTAGTATTGCAACATACTGCATTAAGACTCTGTAGGACTCGACCTGTAATTCCAATTCTTTATATAGCGCAAACATATTTTGCAGCTCTGTACAGTAGATAAACAAGACAAAAAATAAATTCTAACGAAACATGATTGACATACTGGAACTGTAGGTGAAGAGGGCCCTGCACAAACAAGCTAACAAAATAGTAAATTGTTTTGCTTTTTTTCATTTTTATATTGGGAGGTGGGGGTTCCTTATGTTTTTTTTTTTCTAAACATGAAGGGAGGATGTGGGAGAGACTATCTCAGTAGTGCCAGAATTCTCTCCAGTTCTGTATTGGTATTTCTGATTACTAAACAGGTGGGTGCAAGTGTTTGGATTTTTTTTTATTTTTTTTTGCTAGGCAAATACCTGTTTGTTGTTTGTGCAGTTAAAACATCATGTACACAAACTGAAGTTTTATTTTGCAGATAACCAGCATGTGCACCTAGTGGTTTGAATTGTTTGACATTATATATTCTTTGGGGGTGGAGGGGGGAAATTAATGATGGCTCAATAAATGTCCATCACTTTACTTTCAAAAGGGTTCACTGCTGTGGTTTATGAGATGATCTGAGACTCTGAATCACTGGTGTTGGTCCATTGTGTATGCATTGTCCTATAAACGACTAGTAAAGGCACATTTGGGTGACTGCGCATTGCGATACTGTCACTACTCGATCTTTGAGAGGGAATGGAAAAGCTGCTTTCTTAATCAATTTTTTTTTTTTTTTTTTTGGGTATATGGCTGGAATCTGGACCACGTTGGTACATTGCAATTATTCAATTTAGAATGCTCCTACTTTTAATGTGCTTTTTAGTTCTTTGTTTTAAGAAACAAACACAATCTAACTTAAGTCATAATCAGAATGGACTTCTACCCCTGATCTACCAGTGTATTTAATGTAAGTAAAAACAAAAAGACTGTGTGTGTATATTAAATGAACTTACCTTCTTAATGTGTGTTGTATCTTTTCTTTCAACATAATACAAACTACCTTTAATTTGGTTTAAATGTGTTTCATATTGTTACCGGGAAACTGATGGAGGCCAAGCACAGAGAGATGGACACAGGTTTCTTCAGGAAGGAAGAGATCTTTATTCGATTCACCGACCGGGACTCAGAGGGACTTATATCACCAAAAACAGCAAAGATCTGAGTACTGAATACATAGAGTACATTCCTTATATAGCACTGTAGCTTCTCCCATAATTAGCTACACCCACACATACCCTTAACCTAATCAATGAATAGAGTCTAAACTCATCCATCCGGTCTAACCACGTGGCTCATCTGAAACAAAGGACAGGGACGCGTAATTCCAGTTCCTTCATTCCTGCACATGCTCAGTACAGTGATGACAGTATCTTAGCTACGTGTAACTAACTAACTGATACTACAAACACATGTACCTACATATGCCTTGTGGCAAGCTTGGCCTGCTAAACTTGTATTTTACTGGAATTCCATCACATTCCCCCCTTTGATGCTTCTGATTTAAAATAATTCCAGATGCATCACCAATCATAGTTTGCTTACACGTCAAGTTGCCATAAACCAGTCTAGACTTTGTGATCCTCTAAAGATACGATCCCCTCAACATTCCTCTTCCTGCATGTATTCTCCTTGATCTAGAGCTTCATACCTGCAAACAGCCATTACATGTGCTGCGGCCTTTCTTTCTGCTATACTTTCTATAATACTCTGCATAGACCTAATTACCAAAGGAATCAGACATGGCAGAAGGAGACACAACATCAAAATCAGTATGACTCCACCTACCAATGTCTTGATACCTCCAAACTGCTCATACCAGCTACCAAACCAACTACTCGGATTATACCCTTTTTCCATACCTGAGTAGGTACATGTGCTAGCTTAACCATATGGCTAGTAAGCTCAGCTATTGCTTGCCCTTCATCATCTATTTGAAGACAACAATTGCTTAGATTAAACTTCCCACATCCACCTCCCTCTACTGCCAATAGGTAATCCAAAGCTAATCTATTCTGGTAGATGGCTGTCCTCGTCCTAGTGTTATGCTTCGCTAGGAGATTGAGCGCTTGTGATGTTTCATTGGTAACTATCTCAACTACTGCTTGCAATCTTATAATACGATTAAGCATATATATTGGGGTTCTGTATCCATAAGTACCATCCTCTGCCCACGTAGCTGGCCCATAATAATCTATAATACGCTGGGGAGGCCACTCATCATCTTCCCAGGTACCTATCTCTAGGGGTGCCCTTTTCTTCCTATGATTTACATCATATACTTTAACTCCCAAAGTCTCTCCTGTTTCAATTGGCAACAAGGATGGTTTGAGCATGCCCAATACACATGCCCCTTCCCAGTCCTGTGGTAACTCCGAATATGCTTTCTTACCACAAATCCAGTACAAATTTGCTGGGGCTTTCCAACTAGATGTAGCAGATAGGTCAAACCATACATCCTTTAAATTGGTATAATTTGCAAACGGATTAGACGGTTCTAAAACATTTGAAGCTGACCACCAAATAGTATCCTTTGTATCGTCATTATAGGCTTTCTGCCCTAAACAAGTCAATTCTCCTACAGATGTATTAAACATTATTCCTTTCCTTGCTATACAAACATAACCTATAATGGAGGTCTTTAATCGCCACTCAGATTTACCTCTAACACTCACTTGATAATCAGATTGAGAAGATATTAGTTGTTCAACTGTCTCAGAACCAGAATACATTACCTCCTTTGCTTCCCAAGGCCATTGGTCTCCCATATTAGTACCTCCACACACATAGCAGTTGGTTACATTAAGACTACCAGCAATGCTCTCAGCTAGGTCTATGAATACGTTTTTGGCATTATGGGGAACCTTATCTTCCACACTCATCTCCTCATAAAAAGAATGGAAAACCTGATGAGTTTGGGGGCCACTGTATCTGTCTCTATTCCTATGTATAATATCGTCCCAGGATCCAAACCTGTTCCATATATTTGGAACCCAAATAGATTCCCAAACTTATCTATAAATAGCTCTGGGTCCTTGATAAGTATATGGACTGGGTTACACCCCATAGATTTACAATATGGCTTGGTAGGCAATCTAGTGATAATCATATCCTTAATATAAATAAAATAAAAAAGGATACAGAGGTGCTAAAACTAGTAAACCCTGGTGCAGCTAAAATTTCCCAAGTATAGTATCACCAAATACACTTACAAACGTGATATAATAAAAAAAGAAAGGAAAGGGGTGATTAGCGCACACAGAATAAAATGAGTGTTACCTTATATTAAAATAATGTCTCAGGTAATCATACACATTAAATTTTTCTTGTGACCTGTATACAGGTAAATAAAATATACATAGTGTAACCTGTATATATACAATATAGAAAATGGGGAAAATTTGAGTCTCACTCACAATTTCCAGAGCCTTTTAAAAGTTGGCTCTAAACTTATAGCACTTCTCATCTCTTCCTTGAGACACAGGTAATTGGTATAGATGTAGCCACAGGAACCTGGAACTGATGAATTAGCAGCAGACTCCAAAATAAGTAAGGAGTTATTTTTATTGTAACAAATTATTAAAATAAAATGTGTATATATATACAAAAAAAATTGTTTAAAAGCACAACGCGTTTCAACCATACATAGGTCTTTCTCAAGTGCATCTAATTTCACTCTGAGCTCAAAATTCTTTATATATCAGAGGATACCAATTAATGAATGCAATAATTATCAACATATGTTAAAAAATTCCACCCACTTCCATATATGGTCATAGCCGGAAGTGTCACGCCAACCAAACTATGGCCGCACTTCCGGCTATAGACCGGTCCCACCATTCCTCCCCAACATGTCCGCTGAATATTTCATGGAACATCACATTGTCCGTTCGATAAAGTTCAGTTGGGAGTGTCACGTCTGCTGGCTCCGCCCATTTTCATTCCGGCACGTCACTTCCTGTGACGTTGGATTCCCGGTCCATGTAGATCACATGATCGGCATTCTAAACGTCCATTTAAGATAGGGCAAAATGCCCTCAGTTCGTTATATTTTAATATAAAAGAAGGGGGAATGATAAAATATACAAAAGAAATAGTTAGAAATCACTACAGAATACTTCATATATATGAAAATAGATATATTATATAAAATTCTAATATACATATTAAAGCACACAAAGGGGTGGATTAAAATAGTATTGAGTTGGTAAAGATATAAATAAATAAAACTAAATAAAATAGAAAAGAAGTTAATAAGTAACCTTCAGAACATTATAATTAAAAGTATATAATATAATGCTAAAAGACACAAATAATAAAATATTTCATAAAATACTGTTAATTTCAAAGTCAATATTAAGACCCAAGGGTGACAAAGTGCGCATTTCAAATATCCATTTTACCTCCTGGGTACTTAATTTTCTAGGAATATCTCCTCCTCTCCAATGGGGCTCAATTTTTTCAATCGCACAGAAATGTAAAAACTTCGGATCTGAATCATGTTTCTCCAAAAAGTGTTTTGATACACTATGGTTTATGAATCCTCTTTTGATATTTCTGATATGCTCGCCTATTCGAACTTTCAAAGGTCTAGATGTTTTTCCCACATATTGGAGGCCACATGTACAGCTTAGTAGATATATGACATTATTTGAATGACAAGTAATCACAGATTTGATTTTAAACTCTTTTTTAGTACTAAAAGAGTTCAAAATGTAGGGAGAAATAGAAATCAAGAAAATTGGAGAAAAAGTCCCAGAAGGACCCCACAGAGAAGAAATAGTTCAGAAATTCATTTAGAAAATAGATTTGAACCTTTAAGGGGAGGTAGAGAAGAACCAAATAATATTTTTTTAGAACAAAGATGGACCAACCGTCCAAAAAGTACCCCCCAAAAGAGATACAGAACAATAGAAGAGGAAAATGAGGAGGGTGAAATAATGCTAGGAACGAGGAGAAAACGAGTAATGATATGAAAGTTTTTAATTTATCAGAAATTTTTTTAACCGATATGCAAAGCAGAGTTCTAACCAAGGGTTTTAAATTTGCACCAAGCTGCTCTTTAAATAAGTTTGAAACATTTGTTGATATTAATCGTTTTAGCCGTAAATTATGTCTTAAAATTTTTTTTAAAAGGAAAGAATTAGAATTAAATCCTGACACAATATTACCTAAAAATGAGAGTAATATAGATATCGTCCATACAGAATTAAAGAAAAAAATCTAGTTTTTACCCTATATTTCTTAAATCAGACTCAATGAAAGTCTTTGAACGGGCATGTTTAGACGAAATATATAAGATTAAACCCCTTTCTAAATATAGTTTAAATTTAACATTCCAGGAGAAGAAGAATCTAGAAGAATTAAAAGAGGATTCATCAATAGTTATTAAACCAGCCGATAAGGGGGGGGGGATTGTGATAATGGATAAGGTAAAATATCTACAAGAAATACAAAAACAGCTTCAAGATGTTAATACATACAAAAAATTGAAAAAAGATCCTACGCAAGAGATTAAGAATAATTATAAAATATTTTTAGATCAAGGTGAAAGAGATAATATTCTAAATAAGGGAGAATTAGCGTTTTTATTGCTGGATCACCCTTGTATACCAGTGATCTATGTACTACCTAAATTACATAAAGATCCTGTTAATCCTCCAGGACGTCCTATAATATCTGGCATTAATTCTATCCTATCTCCATTATCACAATACATAGACTTTCACCTTCAACCCTTAGTAAAGAATTGTCCCTCCTATCTTCAGGATTCAATGAGTTTGTTAAATATGCTAAACAGTTTTAAATGGGAAGATGATTATCTTCTCATTACATGTGATGTAACTAGCTTATGTACCATTATAAAACATGAAAAGGGATGTGAAGCTACAAGATTCTTTTTACAAGAATCTAAAAGGTACAACGAAGCCCAACAGAATTTTATTTTAGAGGGTATGCATATGATCTTGGAAAACAACTATTTTTGGTTTGAAGGGGACTTTTATTTGCAAGTTAGAGGTACAGCCATGGGGACCAGGTTTGCACCCAGTTATGCCAATCTTTTTATGGCATATTGGGAACGAACCTTTATTTATCAAGGACATGACTGTGGTGCAAACCTGGTCCTATACAAAAGGTATATTGACGATATTTTCATTATATGGAAAGGGTCTGAAGACCTTTTTAACCAATTTTTTAATTCTCTCAATTGTAATGATTGGGGAATTCATTTAACCAAAAGTGTGAGTAATGAAAGCATTGACTTTTTGGATTTGAATATTTATGCATGTAATAATGCCTTAAATACTCGCACTTTTTTTAAACAAGTCGATGTCAACAGCTACATTGAGATCAGAGATCAGTAGCTGTCATCACAAATCCTGGCTGACTAATATCCCTAAGGGACAATTTCTGAGATTACGCAGAAACTGTAGGAATGTACAAGATTTTTCCAATCAAGCTGAACTTTTAAAGAAACAGTTTGTGCAAAAGGGATATTATAGAAAAACTTTAGATACCCAAATTCAAGAGATATCATCCCTGGAAAGATCTCCTCTTTTGAAATATAAAAAGAAAGAAAAATCTCAAATGGATGTACAAACAAAACAGATTCCCTTTATTTTTAATTATTCAAGTAATGTAGGTGTTATTAAAAAAATTATAAATAAAAATTGGGATATTTTAAAACAGGATGAAGAAGTGCAGGAATTTTTAGGTCCTAAGCCCAAGTTTATTTTCAGAGGTGCAAAAAATTTTAAACAAATTTTAACTAGTAGTTTTTTAGAGAAAACCTCCTCAAATGACAATTTTTTAACCAGTTGGGCAAAAACACAACAAGGTTTTTACCACTGCAGGATGTGCAATGCATGTAAGAATACAGATATAAAAGAAAAAAATATAACAATTTTCAACTCTTTTTAGTACTAAAAAAGAGTTTAAAATCAAATCTATGATTACTTGTCATTCAAATAATGCCATATATCTACTAAGCTGTACATGTGGCCTCCAATATGTGGGAAAAACATCTAGACCTTTGAAAGTTCGAATAGGCGAGCATGTCAGAAATATCAAAAGAGGATTCATAAACCATAGTGTATCAAAACACTTTTTGGAGAAACATGATTCAGATCCGAAGTTTTTACCTTTCTGTGCGATTGAAAAAATTGAGCCCCATTGGAGA